GACTGACTTAAGTCTGCTTCATTCATTACAGGTTCCAGAGTCACAGCCCCTATTTGCTCACCATTCTATCTTCAAGGCTAGCCAAGCTCCTGACAGATGTATTTGTTTAAAGAATAATGCATGAGTGTTAATTTCAGTGCCTTTTCTCTTCCAGTAGACTCCATGTGACCATGCCTTACTTTTTAACTGACAGTGCTCTAGTGAGCATATTTGAAAGGGCTGGGATCGAAGAGGAACATGGGGTGTAGGAGTAACCCACAAAAGCCAAGGCTGCCTGCTTCCACAGCTTTGGTGGAACCATTCATTGCACCAAGAGCTCATTTATCTGACTCAGGGAAACTGTTTTTTCCTTATTGATACCAGTATTACCAGAATTTACATAGTGGCACAAAAGACACTCAATAAATATTTATTGATTAAATAGAATGAATAATGGACTTGAGACCATAATGATGATTATAAGGTTAGAATGTATGATATAAAAATAGGCATTACATGAGACACAGTTCTTTGGAATTCAATCGGGATATCCTAAGTTGGTCTTGATTATTTTTTATGTTGCTTTTCTGTTGCATCTGTATGGAGCCATATAGATGATCAAAAGCAAGACTAAGCCCAGGGGAAAAGTCACCCTGGGAATAACGGGGAATCTGTAACGATTTCCCTGATGTAAGGCAAGGATTTTCGACCCTGAGGGCTCAGTATATTCAACAACACTCTTCCTTGGGCAGCCTCTCCCTGCATCCCCCTACCCCCAGCGTCAGTCTGGAGATAGGATGGACTGGTGCCTTCTTTGCTCTTTTCTGCAATTTTTAGACCAGAGTTCCTCTCTCCTCTTAAAAAAAAACATCCAACACCTACCCTGGAAAAACTCTTCTTACACATGCACACTGAGAGACACATACAGTATTCTTCCTAATAGAATCTGGAATTATAAGTCAAATAGAGTGGTCAAATAAATCGTGGAATATCCCTACAATGAATACTTTAGTGCACTGAAAACAAACTACAGCCACATGAATCAACACAAAATACAAGCTGCAGAGAGAATTGGTAATAAATTTTTTGATAGAGTTTAAAAACACAGAAAACCATGCAGATGAAACTATGAGCTGAACCATAAACCAAAACAAGGGATGATAAATACAAGTATCAGGTTAGTGGCTACCCTAGTAGCAAGGTGAGAGGGAGGGCAATTGGAAGGGGCACTGAAGGTATCTAAAAGGTACTTGCAATATTCTACTTCATTTTTTTTTTAATTTGACTCTCATTTTTCATTGGTTATGCAAAAGAAAGAACCATGCCAATCCTGTGGAGGATCGTGGTAGTGAAAATTGTTACGGGCCCACCACATAGCCTGCATTGAATACATAGTCATTACTATCACTGGTGGTTATTATTATTCATTTTATCATCCATATCACAGCCCAAGGGGTATTCGATCCACTGCAGTTACAATTCATATTAGGTGATGTTCTGTTTCTTGAGGTTTTATATATACACTATATACCTAATACCTTCTGAATTACCTAATACCTTCTGAATACCTAAATTATATTCCAGAATTTAAAAAATTTAATACATGACTAAAAATTCCCCAGCATATCTGATCAGATCCACTCTGTTCCTTATTGCAGCCAACTACTCTGCTCCCGGTCATCTTCCCTCCCACATTTGGCTAACTGCAGTGCTCTCCAGCATCGCTACTACGGTCTAGCTTGGTGGTTTCAACCTGCATATGGATAAGCCCTACCCTCTCAGTTCCCTGACATCCTCACCTCCAAAGAGCTTGTTCTCCACTCCACTGTAGCCGTCTATGCTTCATAGTCCTACTATGCACCACTTCCCTAAAATCTCATTTTTAAACACTTCCCTCTCTAACTACCACCTCTTATCTTTCCAGTTCACCTCTTCTTTTACTCCCATTCATTAATTCTCCAACCACACTAAGACCCCCCTGATCACTTTTACCAGGATGCAGAAACTGGAACACAGACACACTCATGGTGGGAATGTACACACATTGTTACAAATTTACAAAGACTTAAGAAAAGTTTGGCAGTTTCTTAACAAGTTAAACATGTATCTACCATATGATCCAGGCATCCCATTCCTAGGTATTTACTCAAGAAAATAGGAAACATATGTCGACATACGGCCTTGTATATGTATGCTCGTTACAGCTTTATTTATTATAATCATAAATTGTAAGCAACCCAAATAGCCATCAGCTGAAGAATGGATAGGCAAACTGTAGTATATCCATACCATGGACTACAACTCGGCTATGACAGGAACAAACTACTGATACAAAAAACATGAATGACTGAAAATAATCATGCTGAGTGAAAGAAGCCAGAGAAAAGGAATGCAAAATGCGAACTAATCCATAGTAACAGAAAGCAGGTCTGGGGAAACAGGTGGTTTGGAAGGGGTGGGAGGGAGGAATTACTTACAAAGCGGCATGAGGAAACTTTTGGAGGAATTGGATATATTCACTTTCTTAATTGTGGTAAATGTTTTCATATATTAATGTCAAAAACATTTATTAATAATAAAAACATTAATGTCAAAATTTATCAAGTTGTTTACTTTAAATATGTGCAGTCGATCTTACATCAATACTATGGTAATTTAAAAACAACTCCATTGGTCCTCAGCACTGCCGCATCTGCTGCTCTCACTAGTCCTGTGATCCATTTACTTCCCACCCTCTGAGTGGACTTTTACTTCCTCCATCATCTCAAACCACAATGTGCCTCACCTCCAGCTTATGCGTGGCTTCTCATTTCATGGAGAAAAAAGACTCAATGAGATGTCTATGTTGTCTTCCCTACCCTCCCAATCTGCTAATCTTCCCTTTACCTGTATCCATAGACTCTGCCTTTCTTTCCTTTTCAGTGGATGAACTTTGTGCTTCTGGGAAGACTGGCCCTTCCCCAGAGGCCCTGGGTCCAGCACCACCCTGATCAAGGACTGGGCTTTGCACATTCTCACTCATTCTTCTGCCTCATCAGACTTTGCCTAATGGACCAATAGGGTTATCTCCACCAGCATGCAAACGTCTGAAATATTTTCTGCCCTAAAATACAAATAAAACCTTTGACCCCTCATCTGTTCCAAGCTACTGCCCCATTCCTCTGACATCCTTTAAAATAAAACAGCTTTAGCAATTTATCCCTGTTGTTTCCACTTTCTCACTTCTCTCTCTTGAAATCCCTCCAATCAGGTTTTATTCCCCTCAGCCCACTGAACCTTTGACCTTTGTCAAGCTCATCAATGACTTTGAAATTGCCCAATCCAATGGCCAGTTCTCAGTTTCTTAGTTTGAAAGTCACACTACACAACGTCTTCTCTTAATGATAATGTCGGATTCTGTCCTCAGCATCTTCTTTCAGAAACGTCTTCTATTCACTGTGCTCAGCTCCTAGAAGGTAGCACTAGACTATAAACTGCCTGAGAGAGGTTGCTTTTTCCTCTGCTGTAATCTCTATGTCTAGGCTAGAGGAGAGCGCTTGGTAAGATCTCATTTAATACCGACTGAATGAATGAACATATGGTGCAACGCTGACAGTCTCAGGGCTGAGGTAGGGATGGGCTGATACATACTTGATTCTCATTTGTGGTACTTACATTCTGTAAACTCACAATGAATGCTGACTTGGTGAATGCAGAGCTATTGCTCCCAGGGGAAAGACAGGGTAGAGTTACTGCAGCCTCTGGGCACATTTTCATCAACTGGTCAATACTGAACCCTGTTTTGTGCATGTCTCTGCTTAAAGACAGCTTATTCAATATATGCTGTTGATTGATCAACACATATCTTCTGACAACAGCAGCAGAGCTCACACCCGAACAAAGCTCACCCAGTGCCCCTAAGGCCCATCCAGCCTCCTCACACTCAGCTGGACTGGACCGCACTTCAGCCATATGTTTGGGAGCCATTATAAACAGCGAAATCACCAATAAAAAGCATAAAACACTGAAAATGATGGCACTAAACAGACCATGAAAAGGACACTGACTTACAGTAGGAGAGCTGAAGCAGAAAGGCAGAGCAGCCTTGCCCTACCTGAGCGGGGAGCGTGTGTCAGGGGACTCAGTGTTCCGTCACTCTGCCTGTTTGTGAGTGACCATGAAAGAACCACAGGAAGTGATCTTGAGTTACAAACACATTTTAGCAAGTAGGCTAATTTACAAATAATGAGGCTAGACTGTACCTTCCTACCTTTCTGGGGCATGTGCAGTGCAGGCCAGAGGCTTCTCCCCTGGGTCGACCCATGGCTGCGTGGGCTGTACCGTGCAGGGGATGAGGTAGATGGTGTACTCCCCGGAGTAGTCCTTCCTGCAAACAAGCAGAGCAGACTGCTTAGAAGGAACACTTTGTAGATCACTTACCCAGACACACGCTGACTTTATTAAACAACTTTCAGCTGGTATTTGTGCCTGGCACCCAAAACCTTTACAAGTCGGTGAACAAATTTTCAGACCTTCATCACTGATCATTCTAACCTTCAGAGTATTATCCAGAGGTATTAAGAAGAGCTTCTCTCATTTATTCAAGTCCTTTTCACAAGAAAAGCTGAGAAAGGCATACTGTTTAGAAAAACTTAATAGGCTCAGTGAAGACAGAACTGGTCACTTCCCTTAAATTTTCATGAAATTTGTTTGACAATTTCTATTTAGTGCTTCCTGTTGACTGACACCGGTTCATCTGTTCATCGCATTCTCAACTGCAAAAGTGTTAATTTATTAAGATGTGACCTCGGGGGCTGCTGTTCTGATTGAAGAGGTAGCAAATGCCTTGGGGGACACCTCACCAGGGAATGCTCCCCATCCCCCCATGCCTTAGCAGTCAGTTACAGGGTGCCTTTCCCAAACTCTACAGCTTCATCCCTTTATGAAGCTGAGAAATAATATGACTTCTAGGAGACTACTCGCTGGGAACTTGCCTGTGTATGGGGGGGCACAGGATTCTGTAGGTCATGACACTGAGAACACGGTACCTTTGTACCCTTGCCTACTTCATTTCCCACACTTGTCATCCAGTAGCCTTAGTATGTTGCTTGGAAGACAGCCAGATGCTTCAGGAAGATTCCTTAAGGGCCTTAGGAGGCTGCCATCCACTAAATGAAGAGTGCAGGGCTGTGAATCTTAATTCTAACTGGCATGAGCAATCTGCAAACAGTTCTCACATGCACCGTGTTCATTCTCTGACCATTTCTTTTGTATTATTTATATCTATTTATTAGCAAAATATTTGGTAAAATAAATAAATTTTTTTTTGAATACATCCTGGGATGTCCAGTTTAGTGGAATGGCACAGGCTAGAAACTGTGAGAGTCTAACCCTATCCTTGCTTTGCCTCTGCCATGGTTGTATGATTTTAATAACCCACGAAAACTTTCAGGGCTTAGTTTCTAAGCCCCTTCCCATCCAACAGTCTGTATGTCTGTACGTCTGCAGTTTTCACACATGATCCCTATTTTCTTCCAAACTTTGGGCTATCAAGAAATAAGACTTTGCTTATCATATTTGAATTACATGAAACTTGGCATTTGTAATGTAAATAGCAGCCATCAATTAATAGAAACACGTAATTAGGGAGAACTGTTCATGCCTGATCCTTGCTTTCAAAGAGACAAGCCAGACCATGTCACTCCTCTGCTCAAGCCCTTCAGGGGCTCCCACTGCACTGAGGAAGAGCCAAAGCCCGGGCAGCCTACGAGGCTCCCACATGGTGGTGCTACCCCTCTGCCTCACTTCTTTGACCTCACTGCTTCGTACCTTCCTCCTTGCTCCTTGCTCACTCCCTACAGCCACACCGGCCTCCTTGCTGTTCCCCAAGCTGCCAGAGGTACTGCTATCTCAGGAGCTCTGCCAGGGACTCTTCACCCACTTAGTCTGTATAGTGAACTCCTTCTCCTCCTTCAAGTCTTTGCCTTCCTGATGAAACCTACTCTGCACTCCTGACCCCCCTTCCTTTGTTCTATACCTTTTATTTTTCCAGAGTACCCCTTACCTTCTAACATATACTAATTTATTATGCCTACTGTTTTTTATCTTCTTACTTTACTGTAAGTGCCAGTGCACAGGGATCTGTATTTTGTTCACTGACGTATTCCCAGTGCTCAGAACCTTCCCTGACACATAGTAAATGCTCAATAAATATTTGTTGTACAAATGAGTACAGGATAAATTGCACAGTCTCATAAATCTGCAGTCCTACTTTTCCTCATCCTTAAATATGGTTTAAGTCAGTTTCTTCACTATCCCTGCAAATATGCCGAAGTCCTAAATATGAGCCTTTAATCACACCATTCTTCCCCCTCCTTTCTAAAAACCAGACATTTCCATGTTGTAATATGGGGCCCTAGTTGCCCCCTTCCCCCAGGAAGCCTTGCATAGGCCGCCAGCTTATACTGGGCTCTGTTCTCCCTAAACAGCCGTGGTTTTAGTGCTCTGGGCCTCTCTCAGTGCACAGAGCACAGAACGCTGTGCTTGCTCTTACTTTCACCATTTGTTTTATCTCCTTACTGCAAATGTGAGCTCCTAAAGGATGTTTATTAAGGACCTACCATGTGCTTAAAACCTGCAGTTCTGGGGATTCAAGATGGATCAGCCATGGCTTTTACTCATGGAAAGGTCACAACCTAGTGGAAAATGGGACTCTCCCTCAAGCTTTATAACATAATGAGTTGTGTTATAGCAGAAGCTGGGATAAGGTGGGTCAGGAAGGAGCAGCTTCCAGCACTGTATGGGGAGTCAGGGACTGTGTCACAGAGGGTCAGTGTTGGAACTGGGGCTCAGTGGATTTCAAGTTTTGTAAGAGGAAAGGGGCATGAAGGGTCATTGCAAAGGTGCAGAGCTCTGGCTGGGCTGGTAGGTTCAGAGGCTGCTGAGACATTTAACATGGTTAGAAGATGGTTTGAGATGAGGCTAGAGAGAGGAGATGGGCCCAGAGGAGAGGTGGACTAGTAGAGTTTCAGTAGAGAATTTAACAAGGACAGTTTCTTTGCCTATAAACTGGGACAAAGTACATTAACAATTTCCTGAGGTTCTAGGAAGCACAGCCCATGAAGATTACTTTATTATGTAACAATTTTAAAGGAATCGATAGATTGAAAAAAATCTCATATAAGACCAAAAATTTATAATTAAAGAAACCTTTGTGAAAATGATTCTTAAGACAATCTTCCACTTCTTAACTATAAAGCTGGAGCAATATTTTCATGCCAAACAGATCTTAATTTCATGATCTATAAAATGGGGACAATAATATTTATGATCTCAATATTTATGACTCCTGGCTACACCACTATTGTTTTCATGGTAAAAGTTTAAATTTTGTTTTTCCTATTTTTTCCTTTTACAAATGAGATATTGTATTCAATTTCCATTGTACCTCTACATTGGGTCTGGGAGAGGATTAACTCCTGTTATTTATTTTTATAGGACTTCAGACCATAAAGTGTGACATCTAGACCTAATAACCCCAAATCCTGGATTTTACACTGGCTGTGGTAATTGGAATATAATTTATTATACTAAGGTTTTGGATGGACACATTTCCCAGCTTCCTTTGTAGGTAGGTTGCCATGTGACTAAGTTCTAGCCAATGGGATGTGAGTGGAAGTAATGTGTGCTGACTGGTTTTACCCTTAGGATAAGGGTGAGAGCACTTTCCAATTTTTAGATCAGAAGCTCATCTGAGCTACATTTGTTTCTTTCTCTATTTGCCAGAGGGTTTTTTCTGTCTATTCCTCTTTTAAAATAGAAATCTAGCCTTCGAAGAAAAACTCTTAAAGAAGCTAAAAACATTTCAGCTTTACCCCAAAACTCCATCTTGTATTCACCTGTTATAAGAGCTTGTGGCTCTCCAGAGTTGATATGGAGAATCAAAAGTCTGAGCACTCCATAGGAGCTGCAGGTCAAATTCAATTCCTCCTAGGTGGTCTGGTGTCAATATGAATGATTTCACATCAGGGAGGGTGTGGTGCTCCATCACAAATTGTCCTATTTCAAGGAGAAATACATACACAACTGTTTGTGAGTTTTATTGTATTTATGGTGAATCTTCTACAAAAGCTTTGAACTAAATTATTATTCTATCAAACAACAAAGGTTATACCTACCTTCTTAACCCTTAGAATATATTCCACACTGGCTAGGACAGCATGGCATTTCACACCAGCCCATCACTCTACTTGGGATGGTCATTGTGGTCATATATACTTATAAACAATGTGAATGTGCCTTGCTGAAATGGTGCTAATGAGCATATTCACAATAACGTGACAATGAACATCAAATACACTTAGCTTTGAATTCTAGCCAACATGTTTCTTGGAGGTAGAAAGTTTTAGTGTTTATAAATCGAAATAACAATTTCAGATTTAAAAAAAAACAAAAACAAAACTTCATTTAGAGTCTCTCAAGTCCTTGGTAGAAGGAGACAATTATAAACGTCATTAAAAAGGTAAAGGTACTCAGCGTCTTGCTCTTTAAAAAAAAGTTTCCTCTTTAAAACTCATGATGTCATGAGAAAACAAAAGTAGGGAGACTATTTTAGATGAAAAGAGACTAAAGAGATATAACAAAATGTAACAAATGAATGTTGATTGAATCTACCTTCCTTTATATAAACAGATATAAAATAAATGTAAACAAATAATAAAACAAGTAGAAAAGACATTTGTAGGACAATAGAGGGAATAGGCACTAGATCTAGACAATACCTAGACAATAAGGACTAGATAATACTGGATCAATGTTAAATATCTTGGATGTGGTAATGCTATTATGATGTATAAGAGAATTTCCCTGTTCTCAGGAGATGTCTACTGAAGTGCTTAGGGTAACTGGACATGAAGTCTGCAGCTTGTTTTCAAATGGAATGACAAAAAAAGGGTATACATGTGTGTATGTGTATACACACATGTAGAAAATGCTAACAATTGCTGACTTTTTTTCATTGTCCTATTCTTTTAAACATTTGTTTTAAACGTTTATAAATAAAAAATTGAGGAAAAAAACTGGCACTGATATTACCTCTGAATTTCGCATGGGTCTTGAATTCAATGACGAGACGACCATCCTCTCGAATATAGATTCGTATTATCTGCAGCCTTGCAGAGAGCACACTGTCTGTCTGGATTCCTGGGAAGATGACCAAATACAAAACATCCATGTTAAAGCAGCCAAGGGAAGATCTCCCTGGCAGTAACTTACCTGTGAGTTATCCCAGGGATGCCTCGAATCAGAGCTGCACATTTATTTAATGATACTTAACACAAATTTACGTATTTGCTTGAGCAAATAGTCTATTTAGAGACATCTGTCAATTACAATTGTGGGCAGTTCATTCTACTTGCTTCTTTTTTATAGTTCCATCCTCCTTGACATAGTGGCATTTTATACCTAAAAATGACACTTAGCCCAGATGCAGGACCCTAGCCCATAATAGCTTGGGGAAAAAATGGTCCTTAATACTTCTTACTGTCAACTTTATACCAGGATGTGCTTATAGCATGTCTGCTTCATTCGATTTTCTTTTCCTCACCAGGACACCTTTTAGGACTTAAGAGAATCATAAACAGTGTCCTGGTGGCTACATTTAATACTCAAACCAGTGGAGAATTAAAGGTTAGCTTGTAGAAGGCCAGCTATATATGGCATGATATGAGTAAACTGTGGCTTTAATAAGGGTGATTGCAATCATGACAGCCAATGAGCTCAGTATGACCAAAAACTAAAGGGTAACCAAAGGAGGGGGACAAATAAAGTTAAAAAAAAATCTCAAGAAATTATCTGATCGTGTAAAAACTTCCTTTCTTATGGGATATATGAAGCAAATACATGACTTGAACTTAACCTTTAACAGAGAGCAGGGTTATACTTTCCATTACTAGAGATAAGGCCCCATCTAAAGAAAACTCATCAGCTGAAGTATCTGCCTCAGATCAACTAAATCACAGCCAGGGAAGGAGAGTGGGAGAACAGGAGCAGTGAAAGGAGGGGACATAAGTGTGGGGTAATGCTTGAAGTATATCTTGGATGTGGTAATGCCACTGTAAGAAAATGTAACAAAAACAAAAAATACTTCAGCTACATTGGGATGAAGGGGGGAGAGAATCGTGGAGTCTAAGGGGCATTCAGGTGGTAGCAGTGGGGGAAGATAGCAGTAAGGTGTGAGTGCCTAGCTGAAGGGTCAGTCCAGCCCCTGAGGGGCTCCCTCTGAAAGAGAGCAGTAACAGAGACAAGCCTGAGGTGAAGTTCATTTTAAGAAAGTCAGCATTGCAGACCTTAAAGTAAGGTAGGGTTGAAATTCCTACTTTTAAGAATGCAATGAAAAAGCAAACTCTATATCAAATGAATATTAACAATATAAATTACAAACAATTAAAAATAAAAATAAAACTAGATATCTCTTTAAACAATATAAAGTACACCATTTTTAACTATGAGAAAATGACCACACACATTCCTCTGAACCCTTAAGGGGCAGTGTAAGACCCAACAGTCACTTGCCATCCTCTACTCTGGGCCCCTGGCTATGTGGCCTGAACTCCCCATCCCTGGAGGCCTTCCAGCATCAGCTTATATGGACATCATTCTTTTTCAGGAACCACATGTCTATATACTTTCTATACTTCAAGCAGCCATCCTTGACTGTGTACAGGGATGAGGAATGCCGCCTCTTAGTTTTTTCTTTTAATTTTACTTGAGCATAAGGTAGGAGGAATTAAAATGTCATCGGATATACCTGTTCTCCAGAGAACAGTGTCATAGAAGAAGGAAAACTCCATCTCGGTGTGGTGCTCCAAGGAGGCCCAGCCCCTGGGGGCCGTCACGTAGATGTACGACACATACAGAGGCACGTGCACTGTCAGGAAGGACTGGGCAGAGTCTCTCACCTGCAAAGCGAATGGTGTGCACACAGAGAGGGCCGAAAAAGCATATGGTCCTCACATCGTGGATCAATTTTCACTACTCACTCAATAGTTACTGATTGAGTGCCTGCAAATGTGTTAGGCACTAGGCTAGGAACTGAGTCCTCAGCAATGGTAAAACCAAATCATTGCCCTTGTGGAACCTACAGTCTAGTAAGGGAGATACATAAATCTAAGTCATGAGGAAATAAAGGGATGGGAAGTGGCTAGGATGCTTCTTTAGATAAGGGGATCTGGGAAGGCTTTTCTGAGGTGACGTGCACAGAAACACTCTGGAAGACTGTGAAGGCACTTTGCTTCTACTGTTTCGTTGTTAGAAGCATTGGCTGGGATTTTTAAGTAGTCCAGTTATTTCCAAATGATTGACCTGGAAGATCTGGAATCTACCTTTCAATACATAGTCCCTTGATGACCATATTTTCCAGTGACCAGTAGGAGAGCTGAATCAACCCTGCTTAGGAAGATGCCCAGATCTGAATCTGTGGGATGAATATGCAGCTGACTTGGATGTTTTAGTGAGTTCCCATAACTCCAACAACAGGAACAAAGGTCTGGGGATTTGGATATCACACTTAGGAAACTTACGACAGATAACTCAGAGCTGCATATCCTTAGATACTTTCCCAGCTCATGAAATGTTTTATTGAAATAATTTTGACAAAGCAGTACATGATACTACCAAGAGAACACTTCTTCTAAAGGGGTTTTTGTTACTGGTATTAATTTGGCTTAATAATTTTTATTTTACTATGCAATGAGCAAAACTTGGATAGAAGGATAACAGAATATGAGCAGAAGCTTTCGTGGGGAAGCTAACTGTGCATATGTGTGCATGAGTGGGGAGCTGATTTATTCATTTTAAAATGTTTTATATTTTCCCTCCACAAGTACGTATTTCTTTTATAGCAAATAAAGCTTAGTTTAAAAGAATTTTGTTCAAATTTCATAATACACTATGGAACTTATTATTTTTTGTTTAAAAATACAGTATAAAGTGATGGGTAATTAAATGAAGGAGCCAAATGTTTTATCAATATTTAGGATATCAAAACTTTATAAGGTATTTTTTCATATTCAGTGTTGTCAGGGATTTGAAATTTGATTCCAAGTTTTTCAAAAGACTCTACTAGTTCTATATTCACTTAAAAATTTTGTTTGCAATTCCTTATTGTTTTCTTTAGAAATTTCAAGATTGTATCTGAACCTCATACCATGTTCTGTCCCCGTAATATACTGACTTTGCTAAATACACTTGCCCCAGTCTCACAACTGTTGATACAAGAACCTCAGTAAATTCTTTAGTTGATTGGACAAATCAATTTTCCTCCTCTATTTCTGTTTTTTCTCCTTTAACCCTCATGATGTCACTTACGAATCCTTAAAAAATAAACAAAACCCTTGACAAATATTTACTATATTACCTGCACTGTGCTAGGTACCTTCCCATGTGGAGATTATTGGTCACAATTTCAGATGAAGTTCAGAAGGGTTATGATAGGGAAAGATATGAACTAGGGCTTGGTTCTAAGTTCTCCATTCTACCATATGCCAGCTGTTTAGACTATTCTTAAAGAAACAGACAACAGTGATGTACTCTATGTATATATTTTTCCTGTGTTGGTTTAAGTGGGGCATATATTACAAGAAATCTTTGTCTTTGAGATTTTTAATTGTATTCTGAACAAAATTTCCGAAGTGTAATTAAAGGAAAAACATGGAAAACAAAGAATACTAATTTTGGAGGCACCAGAGGAAGAACCAGTCACTTAGTTTTACATATCTAGAGTGAATGTAGGTTTCAAAACTTCAGAAACTCAAAGAAAACCTAAGAACGCCTTAAGTTCTATTCAGCAGAGGGCAGTAGTGTATATGAAATGAGAGGTAACAGAATAAAGAGGCTTCTCAAAGAAACAAAACATACCTTAATCAAAGACACTTTCCCAAATGATTACTCTAAGACCCTTTACAAGCTCCCTTTTTCAGTGTGGGTAAATCTGATTTGAAACGAAGAACATCTAGCTTTTAGCCCATGGAGATAACTGCTGAAAATTGAGTAAAACCTGTTTTAGAATTAATTTCCCCATGAGGACCCATTAGCTTACTGCCTTTGAAATAACTGCCCTCCTATGACTACGGTTTCTTGCTATAAAATTTTCTTTGTCACTGATGTTTAATGTCTATTTAAACAGTGTCCACATTTGTAAGGGTCGTCAGCTTGGCATAGGTTTGGGACAGCTATAAAATCAAAGTGTCTTAAACAACTCTCTCTCCATAATGCTTACGGTGCTCTACTCATCCCCTGAAAGACCACATGTCATTTTGACTTATTTCCCCATGTGGGGAATAGAACATGCTTATTTAGTAATAACTCTACAGTCAAATGTAACTATATCCCCAGAGGATAATAACATATATATGTAGAGAAGTAAAAATGAGATTTTTATATAAGTGATTATGCCAAACAGAAATTTCTCCATATTAATTTTCCAATTAATTGATTGAGAGGACTTTAGGGGGTACTCTGTGGCCATGATACTGCTCAGTTCTCTCTGGGGGGATTTATAAAGATGAGTCCTTTGGTCAGCCCCGCTTTGGGGGGCCGCCAGATGCAAGGTGCTAACTGCAGTGGTTCAGGAACAAACAAGGTCCCACTTGGCGCTGGCTGCCTGCAGCCTTAGAGCAGGCCCTGGAGCACCCACCTGGAAGTCAGCAGTTACAGACCCCCCACAGACATCAATTAACTCGGTCATGTCATAATAGGCATCAAAGGTCCAGACGCAGCTCTTCAGATTCAGATGCTTGTAGAGCTGGATGCTCTTGGGCTCCCGCACGCTGGGGTCAAACTGGAAGGGGCGGTCATAGCCAGGCCCGAGGGCTGTGCTGTCATAGACTGCATCATCCAGGAACCCTGCATCTGCGGGGGTCGGGGAGGAACCAGGACCAGTAACTCAGTCTGCACACTTGCCCCTCACGGGCTGCCCAGGAGCCGATGGAGAGAAGGAACATGTCCTTTGGCACTGAGAGAGCTTTCCCTCCATCTGAGGCTCTATTAATAGAGCAACCTAGTGCTCCCCATGCAGCCTGGGTGAGAAGGCGAGGGGAGCTGGCTAACTGCCTGTTGCCAGGTGCTAAATAGAGCAGTGAGTTCACAGACTCCTCTTGGAGGCTGCAGAAACCTGGGAAGGAAAGGTCAACAAATGATAGCATGAATGAAGAAGTCGAAGCTCGGTGGCCCTGAGTATCTTGAAAAGAAAACACCCTGAAGCTTTCTATGTCACACCTGTAAGCCTCGTTCTATGCTTTGCAACCAGTCCATGAAATGGATCTACTATACAGACAATTTGTTCATGAATTATTTTTTAAAGACCAATTTTTAAAAAGTAGCTTTTATAAGAAGCCAGTAAGCAAACGTCTGACCACCTCTGCAACTCCTTTAGTTTCTGAACTCTTAGGAAAAAAGTCTTAATTTTGTGTTAATGAGTAAATAGCTCACTAATGAGGCTTGAATGAACCACCCCTGCTATAGGCAAAAAATTATTGGATCAAATGCTGCCAAGCAACTGAACTGTTCTAAATTAAGGAAGACCTTTGTGCAGCAGAGAACAAAACAATTTTAGAATATTAAGGTTAAAATTTTTATAGTATTATTAAAAGTAACTGGTATTCTAAAGAGTTGGTGAATTTCTTGAAATGTTTAACACCAGCACTAGGCCCTCTGCCCAACAAGGACTAGGATCTCAATTAGCATATGAATTAATTGTGTTTAAGTAGGAAGAGGTGCAAAGTTTGCACTTTCAGCCTGTAAACATGGCATGTTTCTTTCACTAGCTGCACATGTAGACCAATTCTTCCAGGTATGGCTCAGTGATTTACAATTATCACACTCAACTACTTTCTACTGTATAAAGACCATCACTACCCAAAAGTGATGCTTAATGAATAGGGAAGAGCCTACAAATGCTTTTCTCTCTTCAGAAACACTGTTAAATCATTTATCAGTGTGAAGGGAGGAAAGGCTGATGTAACGTGCACTTGCTGAGGTAAATGGAAACAGGCAGGACTCTTGGTAAAGTGTCTGTTACGGTGGACACAGAGACGTGCACTCAGCTGTCAGCTCCAAAACTGCATCAGTGGCAGAGCAGCTCGGCCCTAGGTCACCCCCTTGCTTGGGCAGGTGGCACACCAGGGCTGAGTGAAGTGCTTAGAAAGCTCTGTTGGTTCAGACTGGAAACAGGACAAGTCTGACTGATGGGCTCTCTCCAAAACTTCCTGAAAAGTTGGTTGCAGCCTTGCTGGGCTGCATTGCAGTTTGACTTCTGCCTCAGCCCAATCCTGATTCCTCTCCTTCCCTTTAACAGAGGCTGATCCCTAATATACATCTTGTACCCCAAACTCTATCTCAGTTTCTGCTCCTGGAGGAACCATCCCACAACACAAACACCTGAACTTTAAAGATGCTGCAAGAATGGGACTTGAGGGCACAGATCCAAGCATGCTTGCTGTGGGGGATGAACCAAACGTCATCGTGGTAGGTGCTTTGAAAATGTCAGACTTTAATACTCACCTTGTTTGGAATCAACTGTTATCCTCATGTTATGGATAAGAAAATCCTGGCTCAGAGAGGTCCAGCTTTTTTTTGTTGGATGGGTTGTGGAATAAGGATTTGAACCTAAGTCAGTTTGATTCTAAAGTCCTTGTTTTTTCCTGTTCACTTCATTGTCTGAACTGCTTATGTTTGGTTCCCTGCTAAGAAGGAAATACACTAATTATGCAGACTTGGAGGACCAGAAAACATGAAAAGCAGAGTTCACTTAGCCATATCCCTCAGGGCCACTGTGCTGGGCTGCAGTGGGAAAGGCAGCACAGAACTGTCCCTTACCTGAGATGCCTCTCAAGTCGTGGGTGGTGACAAGATTGGAGCAGACATGCTGGTGTCTGTAGATGGACTCAGATAACAAAAAATGCAAGTTGTGCAATGGCATGGTGGAGATAAGGGGCAGCATTCCATCCTGGTGAGGGATCTGCACTGAAATGTGGATTCTAGGGCAAAAGGGCAGAAATACCTGTTTAGATGCATGCTATGAATGGTTACAGGACATTTCTTTCTCTTAACCCAATTTGTCTTCACTACTTAATTTGCAATTTTTTTTTCCTGAAGCATTCCATGTAGGATTTCTCTGTGAACACAAGAATGTGATGTACATGTAGGAGGATCCCCCAACCCCCAAAGAGGCTCCAAACTCAGGACTAATAGCGATCAAGAACCAGAGATCTATTTTTTATACAAGAAAAGATAACATCACAACCACAAATCACTTTAAAAGCTTTCTTCTGTTTTAGATGGAAGCTTTGTTTTCTCATGAGCAAAGCCGAGTGGCTGACACAGGTGCTGTTGCCCTTCACTAGCATCTGTGGAGGCTGGGAAGGGTCAACTCTTGTATTTATGCCAAAAAGACATCACTGGGCTCTTAAGCTCTAAGGTCAATCTCTCTCCCCAGGCAAATATCCTAGAAATAGTAATATTCCACCTCTCAGACTGTTGCTGCGCAGCTAAGCGAGCCTTCCCTCCCGTCTTCTCCTTTCTTGCCCCATAGTGCCAGAGCCATGGGGCCCCCCACCAGCCTCGTCTGCAGCAGGCTCGCCCTTGATCTACATTCCTCAGCACTTATGCGTCTTGGTACCAGGAAATCTGTAACTTATTTATATTGATTGCTATTTCTTGTATGGTGCACACTCTGTTTATCTTGCCTCCTCACTATGAGGACAAGGACCATTTCCTTCACTTCTTTTGTTCCTTCAGAGCATGCAGTATACAACTCCAAATAAAATATGAGCTTACTAAATATTGGTTAAGACTGCAACACAACAGAACTGTATTATGGGCTGCATTTTTCATTGTACAAGTTTAAATTTTCAGCATTTTTACTGAGAGTGTGTTTTGAGTTTTTACAGCTTGTCTCTCAGAGTGAAGAACCACATTTTTAAGAGGAATTAGAACCCTGGAATATGAACAGCTCTTTTGTAAGGAAGGAGTCCATAGTGCCCTGGGCACTGCTGTTACTGATTTCTAACAAAAACAAATTCTAACTTGTTCGAAAAAAGGATTTGCATATTCTTGGCTCCATATTCAAATCGGTTTTCTCCCCACGCAAAATGAACTCCTTTCTCTGAACTCAGTTGCTCATAAAGGCACACATGCAAGGCTCTGAGGTTTAATGAATATGTATAACACACATAAATTCTTCTTTTGCTATGCAAAAAGGGAAGTATCCATCTTTCATCAAAATCATTGTGGCAACAGGAAAAACTAAAACCACATCTTACAGTTTACATAGTGTTATTTCTCACTTGTTCACTAGGTATTCAGTGAGCATCTCTTAGGTGCCAACAGCACTGTCCTAGACAGAGGGGGTGTGAAATAAATAATCATGGTCTCTGCCCTCACATCTACTATGCAGAGAGAGAGAAAATGAATGCTAATAATGCTCTGAAAGAGGCTTACATGGGTGCCACGGGGCTGGAAGGAGGAGTTTCCAGAATAAACTTGGGGAGACAATGGAAAGATCCTAGAAGAGATGCCGTGAGCAAGGTCTAGCAGGACAGTCAGATTTAACTGCACTAAGGGGAAGGGGGTGTGGGAAGTAGGGAGTGACAGTGGGGTGGAGGTGTGCAACCTGAAGAGTCTGAAGCCCTGGGGAATTGGCACGATTCTCTGAGGGTAGACTGGCAGGTGAGAACGACAAGGTGAGGGACATGCAGTCAGGGAGATGGGCAAGGGACCAGCTCTAAGGGGGCCTCTGAAGAATTGAAACGTTTTCTGAAGCATTTACCAACACTATTCTTGTTTTGCAGAAGCATCACTTATTAAAGCACGCAAGGGCTAGCCTGAGATTCACTCCACCTGCTCACTGTGGAAGGCACCACCTGCCTACCTGTTTGGATGCTCCTTGTGCTTGACATCCAGGTATTTCAAGGTTGCGATGAAGGACTGAGCCTGGAAGCCTCTCGCTGTCCCAGCCACCACTGGGGTGTGACAGATAGCACTGTCTATCCCAATGGTAACAATATTGCTCCTTAAGGGGGTCCCCATATGGCCCACCTTGTCCACTGCCTTTGCCACACAACGCACATGGAACCTCCGGCTGAAGTAAATGCTATCCAGGACCTACCGTGAAGAAAAAAATCACCTCAGACATTTGTACACTAATAAAACAGCTCCTTACCCTGTATATTCTGGAAGATATGACAGAGCCAGTTCCTGATACAAGGTGATCTGTGATGACCACCCACCATCCATCCATTCACCCATCTACGCATTGACCTCTCCTTCTACTTAAACTCACCTAAGTACTGACTTTCTGTCAGGAGCCAGGCACTAGGGATACAGCAGTGAGTACCTACAGCTGAAGGTGTTCAGCCAGATGATGAGCAAGTGCACACATGTGGTGCAGGAGCCCAGAGATGACTGGTTACCAGTGACGGTACTGTTCAGCCTAAGGACCACTCAACTGGTTTTCAGCCCTTCAGCAAAGCTGCTTGGCCTCCAAGTCAGATGGTGTCAGGATACAGAGGAAAGACGCTTCCTTCCCAGGGGTTTTCTTTCTTTCCTTCCCATTGCTATTCCCTCCACCTGTCCCCATGTAAAGACCACACACACTGCAAGGCTTGAAGCTGAGAGTTTGGCCACTGACACTTATTAGCCTTTGAATGTTTTTCTACAGATTCTTTCATGATCCCACACACAGAGAAGCCATAAAAGTGGTTCAACCTATGCAGAGGCAACCAGGTCACTAGGACTCTTTAGGCTATATGTGCATACACATAGGGCCGTACATAACAAAAAAATTAATTAGTACTTCTGTGCCATGGACCTCCCACAAAGTGATCATACAAACATAAATTATAACCATGAAAACAATTTTCACTGAAATCCATTAAAAATTAAAGAAGATTCTTCCATTAAAATTTTTTAATTAGTTGCCAATGCTTGCTTTATTTATTTACATATTTATTTATTTATTTATACATGGACTTTGTTCAGAAGGGATTTGAGGCATCTTACAAAAATGCACACAATACAATTATATTAAATAAGAAATTCGAAGACATAAAGATAGAGCAAAGGAGAGTGGGAGAAATGTGTTACTCTTCAGTTCATTGCAAGAAGGAAAACTGAAACAAAGTAAAATCATAAACTTGGTACCTGCCAAAAATGTATTATTTGGCTTAAATCAGACCAAATCTCCTTCATAGTTTGGTTGAAACAGAGAATTAGATACTTATGAAACCATAAGCTATTAAGCCTTGCCATTTACATTTTTTAATCATAGAGAAGATAATCTAAATTTGAGCTAGGTGATGTTACAAAGGAACCGATCTTCTGGCCTTCCTGAGCAAGCTGTGCCAGGACGATGGACACCCGGAGCGATCCCACTGTAACCAAAGCTTCCCACCTGTGCCTCATAGCTTTTCTCCACTATTATCCTGCTCAACTGAGGCATTATTTGTGGGAACTCACTGTGAGTTGAATAAGAAAAATCTAGAGTTTAGTCTGAAAGAAACCTTTGATTTCCAAAATTATTACATGTGCTAATTTCAGTCGAAAGTCGTTGAGTGCTGGCTGGGTGCCAGGTCCTGGGCTGAGCCTGAATCTCCATGCTTTCAGCTCTCTCTGAAGAGGATGAATGGCATTAGTGTGACACACAGTTAGTGCAGGGAACTGCTCCCTAAGGTTGGAACCATCGCTATTCACTGATCAGTGATGGGACCGAGGTGCTGGTCGGGTCTCCTGAGTCTCTGAGGACAGCAACTGCATTGTGAACTTCCTTTTATGCCTCCAACAGCTTAGTAAAATGTTGGTCCCTCAAGAAGCACCTTAACCTCTTGTTTAATAACTGGTCCCCACTATGTGGCATCGTGTACTGGCCACTCTGGGAGATACAAATGTGGTAAAACCCTTGGTCCATGTCCTTAAGGAGCTTATAACCTACTGCTTATTGAATGATTGAAGAGATGTGAAAAAAATAATGACCATTAATTGTACCTACCTGGAATCTTTGACTTACTTCACCATTTATAGATCATTTTTATATCTGATTTGTCAATGACCTCGTCAAGTAGCTACACGGAAGAGGTATTATTTTGTAGATCAGGAAACTGAGACTCAGAGAAGTTACCTCTTAACATCAGTTAGTTAAAAATAGGTTGAATAGTATCTTAGTTCTTTCTAATATACCATATTGCTTTTTCTTATATAGAAGAATAAAATATAGTTCTCTTTCTGTTATGTTGTATTAGCTTTTCATATATATATAAGAACAAAAAGGCTGTGTGTGTCCTGTATTTACCTGCTGATTTATTTTATTCCAAACGCCATGCATGGACCTTAAGGAATTTAGTAGAGTCAGAGTAACAGAGAGAAACACCAGGTCTTTCCCTGCGCAACCAGACCTGGCCCCCAGACTCACCATGTGGTTGACACTAGTGAATGGTGTGTTGTCAGTGACGGTCTCAAAGGGAGACCTGGCCCCATTGCCATCAGTGGGGCTGGCCACTTCCCAGCTGAACTGCACAGACGTCTGGTTGATGCCAGCCTCACTGCAGCGTTCCTTCATGATGGCATACTTGGGGAAATGAGGGTCACAGGAGGTGACACAGACCAGTGGGTAGCCTGGAGAGGGGGCTTTCTTGACTCCTTCTCTGGTAACCTCTTCTACATGGTCATAGTCAGCAAGTGTGACAACCTGCAAAGGAGCAACAACGCTTCAGCCCAGGGTGGATATTGGAAAAGCAAGAGAGCTAAGGCTCCCCTTCCCAGAAATCCACTAGATCACTTACCTTGTAGAGATTCTCTAAAATATAACATGCTTTTATAATGCTTTGCTGTGCATCTACCCCTACAACATGCTACAGATGTTTACTGGTGAAGATCCTCTGACTGCCTGAGCTGAAAGCTTTATTATCTTACTAATTTTATTCCTAAGTCAGAGCTGTATGACTCACATAAAACAACTTTCATTTTCCTGCACACTGTAACGAAAGCTATAATCACGAATGGCAGTTAGCAGCTTAAAGTTGCTAAACTGTTATTAGTATGTAGTAGCACATTCAGCAAAGTAAGAGTAAATAAAGGTGGGGGCTCTCTTCCATGATCAAATAGGAGACACATTTTGAAATGATCCTTCTACTATCTAAGACTAGTCAGGGGGAGTTAAAAGACTTACTCTGATGGCCTCATTATTATGGGTTAAATTTTCCTCAACCTCTGGGCATTTTCCTCCTAACTGTGAAGGCAGTGCATTCATTCTATGCATCCCCAAATTGGGAAATGTGGCACAACACTTCTGCAGATAATGAATTCTATGTGTGTCTTGAATATGTAGGATAATAGATCACTTTTTTCTGACTTTTCTAGGTCCCACCAAAGACATGAGATCAATTGTACTTTCTGTCTTTATCAGACCAAGGTGTCAATGTAGTTTGCTTCCACTTTTATGTCACCAGAACTTGTCAAATGGTCCCTGGAGGTGGTGGAGGAGAGTGGGGGGAGGGGACAAGATCACACCCAGTTGGGAATCACTGTGTCACAAGAATGAAGATATATAGCCCCAGAAATCCTACTTTTCTCAAGTCCTCATCAACTGGTCCCTGAGAGAAATGCAGCGATCCTTCAGGGCAAGCAACTCACAATGGGTGGCGCTGGCAACACGAGACTGCCTGCCGCCTCCTGGTCTAGGATGGTCACTGTGGCGGTGCTCACGTCGCCGAGAGCTGCTTCCACTGGGTCATCTGGGCCCAGTACCAGGGAGAAAGACTCATGCCATTCCCGGTCTTCATTGGACAGAATCTCGACTTTGAAAAAGATGTGATCCACACCTTCGCAGAGAACAGAATATAAAGAAAGCAAAGGTCCTTGTTAGCTGACCTACCTAACACAGTGCAAGCTGGCGCAACTGAGACGTCGTGCTAAAATATGCCTTCTCCTTTGAGAGGTTTTCTGTAAATGCAGTGGCTGCTAATCACGTTAGCCCCATCTCAAGTAAGAAGTCTGTTTTATAGACCAAATTCCACCTGTGGTAGAGGCTGTATTGCAGATTTACTATTCAATACCATCTGAGGATTAATGGCCCCTGTCTGACACTAGCTGGTAGTAATAAAAATCTATGATCCAAAATACACTTCACCCAGGTTATGAGTTTTTTTGCTTAATTTTTCTTTCCTCTTTACACTTCGGCATGAGCTCCTGTGTGGCCACTGAGTGCTTGCACACAGACGCCCTTCAGAGCTCTATCCTGAGAAGCAACGGCACAGGGGCTTCCCACTGGACTGTCTCTGCCAAGGTGAGAGTGTGAAGGCTCGGCAGCCTGCAAAGGGGAGAGCTGAATCCTAGATACCCCCTTTCTTTTGTGTAAAGTGATTCTCTGAAGGTGCAAACATCCCTGGTAGTAGTTAAGTTTCCCTTCTACCTCTCCTACAGACTTCTGGGCTGGGTTGCTTCTAGGACCTATCTTTTCCCAGGATCCTTATGCAGAAAAGGAAAAAGAAAGACACTTGGAAGAGAAGTCCTTGTGCGGATGTGGAAGAAGGGCATATACACTCCCAGCAAACAAACACCAACAGTCACATGGGCATGGAGCCCAAAGGCCTCTGGGGCTCCAGTGGAGTTAGAAAGGCGTACAGAGCCCTCCCTCCTCCCCCCACCCCACACCCTCTTCTGAGGGAGGAATTTTCTCTCTCCACTTGCCAAGACATATCTGTAAGGCCTTCAGCCACTGTTGCCCACTTCGGACTACATCACAAATGGTGCCAGGATCTATACCAGCCTTTTTGCCCTACATGCTCCAGAAAGTTCTGTGAAAAAACCTAGAATATAATTCAACTCCTCTCATTCCTACCATCAAATTAATATATCAGATGGCTAAACAACTAGTTGTGACATGAATGCCATTTTTCTCTCTTCCCCAGCTTGTCTCCATAGCTCTCTCTGGGATAAACCTTTCGGAATTCCATTAACAGGGCATCCAGTCTACGAGTAGATGTTGAACCAAGTGAGAACAAGATTTTAGGAATCACTGAAGGGCCCAACAGAGAGGTTTGTACCAATGTTGCTGAGTGATGGCAATCATGTATATTTAAAAAAAATCAAGTGCTCTTATCCCTCAACCAAATCATAGGCTAAAAAAATCCTTTTAAATGAACCAATATGCTAAGGATGGTCCAAAGTAAGGGTCCTGTTTTTTTTCCTTTTCCATGCCACTTTTACTAATTAAAGCATTTAAAGACTCCTTCAGTCTCAACTGTGTGCTTAATAAATACTTCACGCTATTAGAACTACTGTTTTTCTCTTCCATTTTTCTGCTCATTCCATTCTTCAAATACAAGATATTTGCCTCTCTATTAAGTAAAACCCACAGTTTGGAATTGACATTCAATTACCAGGACTGAACTTCAAGACTCGGCTCTTTGGGTAATAATCCACACCCGACTGGGCAGATCCATCCCGTGTGCTACAGCGAATCTTGGATGTCCTGTTCTGATCCCCTCTGCGGATCACTTTAATGTTCAGGATGGCCATGGCATCTGGCCCCGAGGGTTCCCGGACTTGGTATGCAGCTTCTTCAAACTCAATGGTGGGGGCTAAGAAACACAGTTAGGAAAGCAAGAACAAGTTAGAAAAGCACAAAGGGTTCCGACTCCCACGAGAGCACCTTGTATGGACAACAGGGAGTTTTCCACATTAGTTAACAATGTCAAGGCAAAATGGCTTGCAGTTGTAAAAGTCAATCAGTATTCACCCCTAAGCAAATGCTTTGGAAAAAGGAATTTGTTTGTGATTCTTTAGGAGTTGTTTCTCACAGCTTCTTATTAAAAACTATATAATGGAGGAAATATGCACCTTGAAATGCATGATGTCCACCTTTCCATCTAGGCAATACAGCTCACAGAAGGTTTTGGAATTCATGCAATTTATCCAGTGACTGAGACATAGTAAGCCCTTGATAACAATCAACTGACTACATGAATCAACTCATTTTTATTTTGAGGTATGAATTGCTAAGGTTTATAATTTATTTAATTTCTGTGCTACTTAATTTACTAAATCCATCTCTCTGATCTTTGGATCCTCCCTTCCAGAGCTCTCACATCCCCTACATTTATCTTTTCTTAACTTCTCATAGGTTATTTAGTTAAGATTGAATAGTTTTTGTGACCAGCCACACAATAATTCAGGAACACAAGATTTCCTAACACCATCTGGTTTGAGGTGTTATTCTTATTGCTATGAAATGATTAATATGTTGATTTTTATTTAAAAAATAAAATTTTGCCTCCTTTTCTATTATATTCTCATGGAGAAGGGCAAATTGGTAGTAGTGGAGAGAATCAGATAAAAAGATGGGAACCAAATTTTATACCATTTTTAATTATTACAGAATTTTGCAGAAATTTCTTGAGTATCTATTTTCATTCCCCTCTTTCCCTCTCAGAAAATCAATTCTTCCTAATTGTAGAAGACGAGCGTCAATTGAGAGTTCATAGGTTTTAATACAAATGCTCTTTGAAACTTAAGAGTGTTACTGTTACACAGTGTGAATTTGTTACCTCTCTGAGCATCAATCATTGGATTTCTTTGTAGCCAGAAGTTCACTTCAGTATTTGAATCTCCTTAGGTAAAGAATTAATTCATCTTCAAGGCTGGCTTTTTTATTTTACCTAATGTCTAAGTTAGTCCCTGCTTTTATATTAGAAAACCTAAGCAGTCATTGACTCTTGTGTAGATTCTAGAATCTGATAAAATAAGGTTCACATCCAGCTTTGTCCTTACAGTTGTGGAACTAAAAGTGTAAATTATATAACTTCGCTGAGGTTCAATTTCTTCACCTCTGATATAGGGATAATAACACCTACCTTAAGGGGTTATTGTCAGGATTAAATGAACTAAGATAATATAATAAGCTTGGCATGGTTCTCAGTATACAGTGAATATTCAATAAAAACATCTAGTACTATTTGTAATATTATCATCCATTAATGCATTAAAATATGTATTTCAATAAAACAATTATATCCAAATTTGAAAGAGATTTTGTTTTGTTCTCCCTGGTACCTAGTGGCACGCTTTGCTAACACTTGACTAAAGAATTTAAGTTTTTTTAGGTTACTAGGCTAAATCAATTAGAAAAAAGAAAATTGTGAAATTAGACTTTTCTAGGAAAGTGGCAGTGTTTAAGTTAGTTCACTGGATTCAGCTGATTCTGATTGTAGTTCCAATCCTGCTCCTGAACTGCAGTGCCTTAAATAGCTTTTATTCTCTGCCTGTCTTAGTATCTCTGTCCTAGCTTTTAACCATACTCATTCCTTATCTCTCAGCAAGTGATAGGGAAGAATGAGATCAAAAACATCTATAATCTTCTTGGAGCTCTGTGGAGGCTGATCATTTGCTGCCAACATTTTATATAAATACTCTGAGATTCTTATCTGTAGGTGCTTTTATAGCACTTTCATTTTTCAAAACACCTATAATTGCATTACTAGTAAAACATCAGTTCATATCCCATTAACCTAAGAGTAACTAAAGGCAATGTCTTCTGTTACCATCTTCATCATTGGATATGGTGACAGTGGCCACGTTATTCTTTCCAATTTTGGCACCACTCCAGTGGTTTCCAAGAGGATGGCTGAGGTAGACTCTGAACTGCTCCTCAGGCTCAAACATGGAGTCATCGTGGATGGAAACCGTGCAGTTCTTCATCTGGCGTGAATAGCACAAGAGAGATTGAAATTTGCAGTGATACATCAATAACTTGCTTGGTTTCCCTAGAAAATGATTTTTCTTCTTTGCAACATCAAATAGTCAACACAAATTCATTTGTAAAATAGAATGTTTAAATCTAATGGGTCATACCTGAGTGAGGCATACTTATATGTGCAGCCTTGTATTAAAACACTGCAACCACTTTGAATTATTGGTCATGAATTATGAGAAACAAGATAATAAAACAATCCACTAAAAGTCACCTGTGTGTTTTCTGACACTACACCTGAGCTGACCAATGCATTTGCACATTATAGAAGGTAGATTTCTGATGATGGGGTTCAACATATGGATTAGTTTTCCTGGGGAGCTAAATAATATTCCTTTTCCATTGTAACAACTGGACAATGTTATGAAGAACTCAAAAAGCCTTTCTGTTAGGCTAAAGATGCCTTTAAATGCTGCAAGAACTCTCAAATGTGCTACCAAATGGTGTTTTGTCTGAAAACTGCTGAGTGCTGAAAGTCTGAGAACACAATCAAAATTCCTATTTGATGGACAGAAATAGTGCTTCCCAAACTGAATATTCTGTACTGATGAGTGCATTCTTAAGAAACCATAAAATAAGGCCACAATATTTTAGATGATAGAGCAGTCTCGATAGTAGGGTCATGTGATATGAAGTGGGATTCTTTTTAGTTGAACCATTTGAAATCCACCATATTACTGTACTGCGAAGGGAATGTGGGTATAGGGAAGTTTCACTCTCATATTTCCAAGTCATACTAAATGAATATCCTTGTGAACATTTATATGTGATCTGCTAAACTGGTTTTAATTCCCCAAAGAGTGTTTCTTTTTTTTCCCTACCTCATCTTTCTTAAAATAATATCTTTATGAAAAGCATGAATTTAGAAGAGCCTCTTCAGGATATCTTTAAAAGAAGACATTCTAGTTAGTGACAAGTTTCAAAGACATATTACTTAGTGAGCCAAAGAAAATGAAGATTCCAAAGTATCCTTATAATGTTGATAGACTGTCATGTGGGTAACATATAAACTATGAGGCTGTATTTTCTTTATGATTTTATTAAATTTCAAACTGTCTCTTGGATAGGCAGAGAATCCTCTCTTGAACTTAAACAAATACAGACATGTTGACTCAAAACTGAAGATTGTATCTATAGTATTTGTGTATGCTTTTAAACATGTGTTTCAACTTGCCACCAGTAGAAGTCCCTTAAAATATATAATTAAGACAGGGCTTCTATGAGTTATGAATGTATAAAAGACTAAGAGTCTCTAAGAAGGAAACTATCAATTTTTTTTTTTTGGTAGTAACGATGAACAAAGTAAGAATCTTCAGTGACCTGGGATAGCTAAGGTCTTCTTAACACTAAACTTCAGAAGGACTGACTAATCATAAGGCAAAAATTTGATGTATTTGATTATATCCAAATTGAAGGTGCCTATTAAACTAAGAACAGTGTGGTCAAAAGTAATAAGGTAAAATATTTTTACAATATTAAAATGTCTAAAACTGGCAAGGAATTAATATTTAGAATGTATAAAAAATACGACAAGTCAGTATAGCACAGAGAAGACAAGTAGTGATTTTACAGCATCTTACTATGCTGATGTACAGTGACTGTAATGGGGTACGTGGTGGGAACTTGATAATAGGAGGGAATGTAGTAACCACAATGTTACTCATGTGAAACCTTCATAAGATTGTATATCAATGATACCTTAATAAAAAAATACTGCAAATCAGTAAGGAAAACACAGCAATACAATAAGGAACAAGGATAAATATAATAAATACATGTAAGAGGAAACCCAGTAACATAACAAGCACAGAAAATGATAGTCTTTAGAGAAATGCAAACTAAAATGAACTGTAACTTTATTTCAATTGCACCAGTCACCTCCTATTATTCTGCCACCACAAATAATTGCTGAATTTTTGCTAATCTGATATGTATAAATGAAATTAAATAGATGCATGGCCAATGGTCCAGCAATTTTGCTGCTGAATGTATATTCAAAGAAATTTCCACTCCTGTGTAAGAGGACAAAGGATGCGCACTGCAGCAATTATTTGTGGTGGCAGAATAATAGGAGGTGACTGGGTGCTACCTCTGATGTTCTTCACTTTCTGTCGCTGAGAGTAGATAAGTGAAATGTAGTAAATGCACATCATGAAATATTATGCAACAGGTTGAAACAACAGATTAGACATACATATAAATGACATGGACAGATATAAAAATATTGCTAGGTGAACAGTAAAAGTTTGAAAAAGATACAATTGCAGTTTTATAAATTAAAATTATGCACATAGAACAAGTACTTTTTAAGAACATACAAATTAAGAGATAGACATTAAATATAATAGATCAATGAGCTCTGAGGTAGGAAAGGGAATGTGGCTGAAGAATAGGGTAAAATAAAACAAGTAAGCACAAAACATATTAAAATAAAAACAAATAAATAAAAAAAATAAGAGAAGGGCCTTGGACTGAACAATGAAGGCTGTGTGCCTTGAATCAAGGGGCACAACTGACTCAGTCATTGAAACTGGGATCCCAAAATGGCGAAAGAGGATTCCCAGTAGATGTACACGTTGGACATACACTGAGTTTGCAGGCTCTGATTCTAAAGAAGCCATCCTCGGCGGCTTGACTTTTCAGGAGTTCCTGTGCCCATGTGGATCACTTTTCACATACATTGCCAAGAAGAGAAATCTCCACTGACTTGAATGTGCTCAGCATCTGTCTGTGTGGTCCTATACTGGGATGTATTGCCCTAAGACAGGCACCCAGGCTTTAGAAATTGCCTCTTCCTCTTCTGGCAGAGTGTGCTCATCTCTAATGTACATGGCAGTATTAAAAAGAATTATCAGTTAGTAAAAACGTCCTAGGAAGTTCAGAATTTGTCTAGATTACTTCACAATGGACACATAAAAGCATCCAGGAAGAAGAGAATCCCAACTGTCAGCCATTGTAAATCCACTTACTTTGTCCCCTTTCAGAAAGATAATCCGTGAAGACTCTGCATTTCTTCTCTCCTCAAAGTCCTCTACAACCTGAGCTGAATGGCCCCGAGTATAGCACCTCACTGATGACTCATAGCTCAGGTCTCCACTCCGAACAATGGGCACGTGCAGGACACCCTCTTTCTCCTTCACTAGGAGCAAATCCTTGGCAAACTGCATGCTAGGCACTGGGTGAGCAGAAGGGGAGATGAAGGCATTGTTAGTGGGAGACAGAGGGAGGTGGCTGCAGCCCTCATCAGCCTTGGCAGCCACGTGGCAGGAAAGCTCCCCTAAGGGCCCTCACAGGCTGGCAAATCAGAGACAGGGAGCAGGTTTCCAGAAAGGTTTGCTTTCCGGGCAAGGGAACTGCTTTCTTTGTGAGTGTGCCTCCAGTGCCACAGGAAGAACAATTTTGCAACTGTTTTCACCCAGATTCAGGGCACGCTGCCCATCTCAAGTGCAGATGTGTAAGGTGAGGAAAGGAATGAGCCAGGTGTAAGAGATTCTGATAGACTTGAACACTCATAAAGAGTTCAGTTTTCCTTATAAAGCTACAAGGAAAACGGTAGCACAGCCTGGTGATAAACAGCACTCACAATGTTCCCGGGGCCAGGAGAGAGTGAGAGTGCAGATGAAGAGGAAAGTGCAGGCCCTATTTAAAGAGGGTTGCTCCTCAGCTCCAGTCTTCTGTTGGCAGAGCTTATTTTCAAATGAAGTCAGAAACCTGGATTTTTGTGTCACATTTCCCACGTTTTAAAAAAAGCAACCAATTAAACTGGTAAGAATAAAATTCATATGGGCCAAACAAAACCCATTGCCATACTGACTGTGGCCAGTGAGCCCCCAGGCTGTGACTACTCTGTCCACTCACCTGCTTTTCTAACTCACATGGCCTCATTTGACTTTACGGAGGAGCTGTAGCCAAATCATGGTTAATGCAAGGGCTTTGGAGGAAATAGGCCTGAATTTCCATTCTAGCCTTGGTACTTCTTGTGTGATTTAGGACAAGATGCTTAGATTTTCTGAGCTTTGGGATTTTTTTAATATATATAAATTGGAACTATAGTTATCTAACTCGAAGAATTGTGGGGAAGACTGAATTTAATGAGGTAATGTATGCATGGTGCTCAGCACAGGACCTGGCACATAGCCAGCACTCAGATTTTGGTAGGAATTATTATATTATGGTTTGCATTGCCCCCAATTCCAGGCTTCTCAATATGAAGAATAATTTTTTCCTCCTTACTTCCTTACTTATTGTAATGCCTACAGTAATGCTCTGCATTAAGATGTGTGCTTATCTGAGACCAACATTCTATTGATTGCTGGCTATTAATTTCATAATGAACAATACAGAGAGAGAGTCCCTCCAGCCCCATGTCAAAGCCTCCTGCAGCAGAGGCTGACCCGAAAGCTCTGGTCACCTACTTCCTTGCTGAATCTTGGGTGTGCCCCACCTGACCTGAAAGGAAGGAGCATAAAGGGCAAGTGTGTAAGCATTCTGCAAGTCAATATGAAGAACACTTTTTGTCTCTAACTTGCCCACTGCTCAGAACTGTTGGCATTTGCAAAAATAAGCCCATTATCTGAGCTGAGCCTAACAGTTACCATTTATTACTAAAGAAAATCTCAGAAGATACCTATTAAGAGAACATCATACCTAGAGGATAATGAACAACTGTAGATTAGGCACATTTCCATAGGAGCTCTGTCATCAGTTTAACAGTCTGTGCTGCTAGGAGGCGGGTAGCAATGAAATGACCTAGCAACATGGACAAGAAGGAAGCTTGTTCCCAGGTAAAAAAGGAACACACACAGGGAAGCTTTTCTGCTTGTGGCTGATGATCTAAGGCTTTGGGTTGATTTTTCTTGCTGGCCCGCCAGGCATCAAGTCAGATGAGAGTCAGGAGTGAAAATGCTAACATTTGGGTTTGGTCCTGTATTAATCAACCCAGAATTCCTCTTGAGCTGGAAGAGTCCTATTTTTCCCTTTAACAAGATATTAACCCTAACTGCAGAGAGAGAGAGAGGTGAACACTTTTCATGATTACGTGCTGGTAACAGTCCCTGCTCAGTGAGAGACTGAGGCAAAAGACAGCTGAAAGGCAAGGAGTAGGGTCAGAAACAGATGTTTGCAGGGTTTACAGCATACCCAGGTCTGTCTGGCACTGTGTTAGGGGCTTCCGTAAAAGTCACTTGAGGTCATCCTCTCAACAACCCTATCAGGTACTATAATCCCCACAGGAAGCAGGAGTGCTGGCCTTGCGGGTCCCTTCTGGCTGGCCGCAGAGCTGCCTCCTCTCCAGACCACTGCATGCGCAAACAGGAAGCAGCTCACTCCTTGAGGGTTCCTAGGCTACCACGAGGTATAATGCATGTACTGTCAGCACCTCTCTCAGGACGTGCATGAGACACAGCCCAATTGCACTTATCTTCTAATGTGTGTAAATCTTGTATCCCAAAACAGATGTGGGACTCTGCTCTCCACTCCTCTGTGAAGCCCGCAGTGCTGAGCACAGGTAATGCTGTTAATCTTCCCTGTAACTGAAAAACTGCAAACGCCACTGCCTGGAACCTGATGGCTCCTTGTGGGCGATGGTTAAGTTGGTGATTTAGGAGAAATCCTGTCTCGGGTTCTCCTCAAATTAGAGTAGGCAGGCCCAGGGCATACATAGGAGTGTGGTGCGGTACAGGTCACCAGGCCTTTCTTGTCTTGCTCAGAGTTCCTTGGCCCATACCAAAGTCTAATTCCAGGTACCAGAGCAGAAGAGGAAGGTGAAAACAGGAACATGTTCTGAGATGAGCTACTTAGATGACTTAAGAGTCATAATCAGCCCTGTGGAAAAAGGTGATAGAAGCTCAGATTGCTTCAGAAGGCTGAAAGTTGACATTAGAAGGATCTTGAGTGACACTAAGCATTGTTACATAGAGGGCAGCAGCTAAAACTGCAGTATGAAAAGTTAGCATGGTAGGATTTAAAACCAGAAGATTAGATGTGGATAGGGTAGACCTGGGTTTTAAATCTGGCTCCATCACCTCCTTTTCATGTGATATTAAATTATTCAACCCCAGCCCCAGGTGAAGAGCTTTTAAGGATTAGAGAGGTGGTCAGATCTTTCTATCCTACAATGCACATGTGGAAGGGACTCAATAAAAGTTCGTGATTTGCAAGAAGAATAACCCATAGAAGTACAGGTTTGGGGATTTCTTTCTCCGGGATAAATTCTTGGCTGAATATATATTGTTGCAGCCTCCCTGAAAAAATGAGAATTTTTTTGTTTAACATATTCATTTGCTAAGTTTGCACTATCTCCATCAATAAAATGTGGGAAAAAATCTAAATAGCATCTCCTGTGTAACCTGGGACAGTGAGTTTGTGTGAGTTACTGGAGTCCCAGTGGCTGGTGTGATAAATTACAGACATGTCCAGAGGAAAAGAAATTAACATATAATATAATCTGCTATGTGCCAGGTACTATGGCAGGTATTTTCACATATTTTATCAGTCTGATCCTTACAAAAATCTTGTAAAGTAGGTATTTTCATTATTTATCGATGAACAAAATGAGTCTCAGTAACCTTAAAGCCAAAGAATAAGTAAGTGGTGGGGCTGGGATTACATTTTAGGACTTTAACTTTGTGATCACTGTCCACTTCATCAGAAGGAAATGATCTTTTCATGCAAAAGAATTACAAGCCTTTTTAAGAATAAAAATAACTTAATTTCTATCTTTCTTCTTTTTAGTAAGTAAAGAAAAAACAATCCCAGAAATTCACATTCTGCACCAAAGAGGACTTAAGTAGTGCAAAGAGGATGGACTTGAAAGTCTTTGCATGCTGGTTCCTCCATATACTAGACTTGGGGTGTCATTTTTTACTCCCTTGATTCTCAGTATCCTTATTTACAAAATAGAACAAAAGTAAAACCATGGGATCATGAACAAATAAGATAATGTTTAAGTCATCACTCTGTAAACTCTGAGGTAACATGCAATAGAAAATTGTGTACTTGTTATAATCTTGTTTAGTTACAAAGTTACCACTTTGTGAATCACAAACCTAAAAGTAAAGTTGGAAACTACAGAACTTCCAGAAGAAAACATTGGAGACAATCCTTATAACCTTGGGTTAGGCAAAGTTTTTTAGACACAACAGTAAAAGCACCATCTGTGATAGAAATATTGATAAATGGAACTCTTCAAGATGAAAACATGATTGCTCTTTGAAAGACATTGCTAAAAGAACAAAAACAAACAACAGCTTGCTACCAAAATATTTGCAAAACATGAATATTTGTCCAGAATTTATAACAATGCAATAATAGAGGGGCAAGAAAACCCAATTAAAAAATGGGGAAAATATTTGAACAATGCTTTGCCAGAGAAGATACATGGATGGCAAGTAAGCACTTGAAAAGATCTCAATGTCATTAGTCATTAGGGAAAATACTTTCAAATCACGAAGATATCACTACAACTTACTAGAAGAACTAAAAAGCCCACAAAAACCTGATGGTATTAAATGTTCGTGAACATGTGGAGCGACTGGAATTCTCAACACTCCTGGTGGTAATGTGAAAGAGTTACAACCCTTGAGAAAACAAGCCGGCAGTTTCTTACCATGTTAAACACTTACCATATGACCAGCAACCTGACTCCTAAGTATTTACCCCAGAGAAATAAAAACTTATTTCACACAAAACCTACATAAAAATATTTATAGCCACTCCAGTCACAACCACCAAAACCTAGAAATCACCCTCATGTCATACAACAGGTCAATGAATAAACAGGAGAATGTGTAAATAAACTGGTACAGCTACACAATGGGAAACTACTCGGCATGAAAAGAATGAATGACTCAGATGTGCAACAGCATGGATGACTCTCACATGCACTATCCTCAGGGAAAGAAGCCAGACTCAAGACGCTACATATTACATGATCACAATTATATGACATTCCTGAAATGGCAAAACCTTAGGAGCCAAAAACAGAGCAGTGGCCATATACCATATTTGTTCACATATCTATGTCTGTTCATTCCTGCACAGGACCACCAGTGTTAGTTTCCTCAAACAAAAATCACACCACTCCTCAGCTGATGAACATTTGTTGCTGACCTCTGCTTACAAATTCCTTAGGCTTGAATATAAGACCTCTTAGAACTTGACTTCAACTAGTCTTTCTATTTCATTTCCTTCTCTTCACCTCCTGCCAGGTTTAGAGTGATGGTAAACTTCTCACTGTTTTCCAAATATGTGTCTTTCCATTAAACTCCTACTGTACCTGAAGACTCTGTTTAAATAGCACCTCCTTCATGAAATCTTCTATGATTCTTCCATACATAGTTGCTATTTAGTTCCCTCTGCTCCCACAGTACTGGATTTATAGCACTATTAGATCATTTATTGTAATATTCTAATTTTTCTATTTAAGGGTCTAAGCCCCCCCCATCAGACATGGAGCTTCTTGAGGACATGGCCCAAGGCTTATAAGTCTTGTTATGCTTAGCAGAGTACCAGAAACATGAATGATGATTTCTCTCCCATATTTCTGTGTAAAAGTGTGCACATGCACATACATGCGTGCACACACACAAACATACAATTTCTTGAATGAAAATGTGAATGAGTAAAGAAAAAAACAGAGAAGTAGTCTGGGCCACCAACTGCATTCCCCCAAAGCTTACCATCCTGGAATGTGTCATTAATAGCAATGACAGCCTGGAAGGGTTTGGTCATTTCGGCACCTTGTGCTGAGCTAAGGAAAACCACAAATGTCTCCAGCCCTTCAATTACTGGATACTGAGTGTCATCCAAGATAGTCAAGGTGCAATACTAGAAGAAAAGGCAGATGTTAACTAGACTCACTGAGGTGAGCATTTCACAACATATACAGATACTGAATCAGTATATTGTACACCTGAAATTAACATAATGATGTATGTCAATTATATCTCAATTTTAAATAGCAAAATAAATTTAAAAAAGAAGAAAAATCAAAGCAAACCTTACAAAATACTCACACACATAGCCATTTGCCTTTGGGAGATTAGAACCACAGTGGCAAGTCGCCTTTCTTTGGTGGTCTTCAAGCAAGATTTTTTTAATCCACAGAGTGATAATTTATTATATGCCTTAAGGTGTTTTGTGGTGGTTTCTATACTAAATTTGTTGTGCTAGATATTAGATGCTGAAAATGTCACTTAGAGAGTTTGTAGAAGATCTGCTTTGTTCTCTTGCTTGTATGTTTGTGATTTTGAAGAAAAGGCAGATGCAAAGGGAGTTTGGAGTCCACCAGAGAATTTGGAGACTAGAGACACTTTAACAGACCCATTGAGCCTCTGCCTGCTGTATGCTCACCTGCTCTGTGACACCTGGCCCAAACTCCACCTTCCTCGAGCTGGGAACATAGTCCACTCCTGGAGTGGCGGAAGCTGGGTCTGAGGGCCGTGTGGCACACCACACAGATGTGAAAGTAGAAAGGTCGGTCCCATGGCGGACAACTGGAATCTTCACTGAGCCTGAATTGAGATTCATAGATATTTCAATGGTCAACCTTAAGCTGGAACATAAATGGGGTTTTCAGAACAATGTTCTTCATAGCAGTAGCAGTTTTATCTGCCGGCCTAAGTAAGCCAACTTCAGCGATGCTCTTATGCTCCCTCTGAGGAAGGCTGAGAGGTGTCACCACCCTTCTTTTTATTAACACTAAGGTAAAGAACCGACCTGGACGAGGGCCTCATGGAGGTAGTGCTGGAGACAGCCCTTAGGGGAAAGTGGTTTTGTGGCTTCACAGGAGAAGAACAATGAATTTAAGAGGGCTGGGCCTACCAAAAATCTCAAGCCTAGTTAGAGAGAAGAAACTCGGAGACTAGGGCCTCAGGAATGATCTAGAAAATACTCAGTTAAAGAAGAACTGGCTAGGGGACTCTATGGGGCCTGAAGCTGAATGTTCCTAATTAAATGTTCCTACATGGCCTGTTTTCTCTATTTTATCCGAGTGGTGAACATCACTACCTAAACCATACGTGCTTATTGATTATCTGAGTAAAGAAGCCTCATTTGCTGGTCTACTCTGACATCATACTTTGTAGTGTCCTAATATTATATATACATGTACATTTCAGCTATTTTCACAATCTAGGTCAGAGAAAAGCTACATGAAAATCCCATCAGTGATATGTTTCTAACCAATAAGCTGTGAGGTGTCAAGTAATCATGGCTAGCCATTTGTATATGGGAAAAGAAAATGGAATAGTAGAAAGGACACTGGGTTCCAATCCCAGGTCTGTCATATTAACTGCTGATCTTTGATGATGTATTTGTTATCTCTAGGCCTCCATTTGATTTTCTATGTAATGTTTTCTCTTCCACATAAGCTTAAATGAGAATGCAGGGAATGGCACATGGCATGGTGCCTGACATTCAGTAAGTGCTTAAAAATATCAGTGCCCTCTATCCCCCAGAATATTGCTTTCAAAGAGGTGAAAGGCCTTGATCAGGTGGCTCAGAGCAGTAGATACTCAGCACAACTGCTGCCCCTTCTGGCCGTATGTCTGCCAGCAGTGTGCAGAAAACTTTGAGACCCTTGTGGAGCCGAAATAGGGAAGGAGCCTGAGTAGAAGATATCTGCCTATTGACCACTTTGGGCTCTTACATAAATGAGAAAGATCCATTTGTTAAGACACTGAATCTTGGAATGCATGTTTTGGAGCTAGCAGCTAAATAAGTTACCCCCATCTTCTTAGATCACATTCTTCTCCTTCACAAACCAAGATGCTTATTGGCACTGTGCACTCCCTCTGGACCAGATAGGTCAGCCAGTGAAGTTCTAAGCCAGATCCCTCGCTCCCTGCTATCAGTAAGCAGAGCAAGAAAAGTGAATGGAACTTCCTAGTCTTCACTTCCTTCCGCTCTTAAACTTGATGCCTGGTAGTACATCTTCAGCCTGACAATGGTGTGACCGAGGAATAACCTTCTTAGTGTCTTGAGGACATTCTCGAAACTAAGAGGAAATTGTTCAAGAAAGGGATCAGGAGATGGGAGATGGAGCCCCAGAGATGTTCTCCATTACCTGCATCCTCACTGACAGTGAAAGCTGTGTCGCCCAGGGATATGGTGGAGGCATCATTGGGACCACTAATGAGCACCTTGGCCGATGCTATCTTTCCGATGCGGGCATTGTCAGAGGCATCTGCCAGGGCAATCTCAAACTCTTCTTCCTCCTCATACTCGCTGTCATCAATGAGCATGACATCACAGGTGGACATGGTGACACCAGGCCCGAATATCACACGACTCTCAGCAGACATCCCTCTAGATTTAAAATCAGAGCCTGATTCTAGAGCATAGAGGCTACTTCCCATAGCTGACTTAGGGACTGTGTAGCAAATCGCAGATACAATGCTGCTTGAATCCCCTGAAATACAAATGGCAAGAAAACCAAAACATTTGAATGAGCACTTTTCAGGTTTTAAAATTCCAGATAACCTGATGAGCTTGGTTCCCACTGTACATTCCATTACTATTTGTATTCAAACTCTGATGTGAAAGCTTCCTGCATTGCAGTGTGTTAGCCTATGATATAACTCACTTGAGGGCTTAATACACCCCACATACTTCACCAAACAACTTAAAATGGATTTTCTATTCTGTGCATTTTGTGCTCTGTTAATTCACAAGACTCATTGTCCACTACCCACAGTGGGCAGAAAGATAAGAAACGTATTTGGTACTTTAAGTAGTGAAGTAATTGTGTCCTGAAGGTAGTGTTATATGCACAGTCCACTGCTTTTCTGAATGAACTTCTGCAGTTTAAGTCCCAGGGAAAAACAAGCTTTGTTGAAAATAAGAGACAAAATGAAAAAAACCTGCTTCTCTGTACAAATGACTTAACTTATTAGTGCCACCACTTCCCTGGATGTCAGCCTGTCCTGGGCCTGGCTTCTTGGCCCAGAGCAATCATGGGCTTGCTTGTTTTCCAAGTGGTGTCACCAAGGGTTTATATGATCCACAGGGTTTGTTACAATAATACCCAGGCAGCAGATTCAATAAAAAACCTGACATCCTCACTTACAGTCAGGCTGTGGCTTTGAATGGGAACTTAATTTCCATGTATTTTACTTTACAGTCTAATATTGTACAATCATAAATCATACTATCTTTGTTTTGGTTTCGGACCCCTCAAGAAGAGCCCTTTATTTCTCACACAGAATTTACTTCTCATCTGACTCTGTATGTGGCACTCCACTCACACAGGGAAATCTTTAAACACATTTTCTGTGTTCCAAGAACTAAGATGGGAATCCAGTTCCTATAAACTGTAATTTCCCTCCTTGACCAAGGCCTAAATATTTTATGGATTGGGTGATTTAGTCTCCTAAATTCATGAATAATTTGCAAGGCCAAATATAATCTTCTAGTCCCATTGAAGAATAATGGGTGTGCTAACAACTTGAACTAAGAAGAGAAGCCTTCTGATAGTACTTCCTATAGTAGGATTGTTACTAGTGTAGTTCTGGGATTTAAATGGGTTAATACATGTAAAATACTTATGCATACATGTTAATCCAGTACATGAGCACTTGGCACATAAAGGAACTCAATAAATGTTAGCTATTATTATAGCTTCTTGTCACCTTTGGCACCAACAGACCTTTTCTTTCAATAGGTGCAAACAGAAAACCAGCGCTCTCGTTGACCCGGTAGGTCTTCTTATCAAACTCTAATGTGGGTTCGTCCTCAGTGTCATTGATAATGACCTTCGCCTGGGTGAACTCCCCTAAGAGGGCATATGCTGGCATGCTGAGCTCCACAGTAAAACTCTCAATGTTCTCAAACACATCATCATCGTTGATGACAATGGTGCAGGACTTGGTGTCCTCTCGCTCATCAAACTGCACCTGTCACAAAGGAAACCACAGTTAAGTTGTATCTCGGGCTCCTTGCTTTGCTCCCCCAGAGCATCATAGGATAAGAGGATGCAAGCCCAGTGGGCAGAGCACTGAATGAAATAGCTGGTTCTTCTTGCCCAACTTCCTGCTGTATCACCTGGGACACTTGGCTGTCTCTTCCTCTTCTTCATCTGTACATTGGGGACATGGAGAGCAAAGACTTCTACTATTTAGTGACTATGGAAAGCCTGTAGGTAACTACTCATATCCTGTTTTAATAACTCATTTGGGATAGCAAAAATCATTTGATTACTCTGTTCCCCTTCCATTCACGGCAAGTTTAGTGGAAAAGATACTTGGATTTGGAGGGTGAACTTCTGGCCTCAAGTCCTGGTTCTGTTACTTCCAAGCCAGGTTAGGCTATGAAACTTTACAGACATCAGATTGTCCATTGGCTAAATAATAATTATAATGCTCATATTTTGCATGTTTATTGGGATGACTATAGGAGATAACATATAATGAAAGTGCTAAGTATATTTTAAAGCATTGAACAAATGCAAGATATTAACCTAATTATCACCACCATATTACTTGTATAATCAGAACTGACATAGAATCTGAGTACTGAATAGTGGAGTTGGAATTCAGAGAAAGTTACATTATAAATAAGACAGACTGAATTTTAACTTTATATTTGACCATATCCTTTGTAACTAAGATGAGCTAGATCTATGTGAGAGAATGTAACCTGATATAAAACAAATATATTAATATATATGCATACAACTGTAAATTTGTAGGAATTTATTCTGCTTTTATTTTGCCTAAAAAAAAAGACAAAAAAATCTTCAAATGAAATGGGCCTATGGATCTGTCCAAAACAGTAAGGGCAAGAAATAGGCCTGAACTGGACTTTGTGTAAACTGACATAGCTGTAAAGTATAAAATTAGTCATAAACCTCTAGGGACACACAAATCTGAAAAATAATTTTCATCAACAGAAAATTACTATTGCATATCTAATACACTAATTATATTAACTTTAACTTAGCTCCACATTTCAAAACATTCCCAAATAACTGAAACACTCAATAGATCTCTAGTATTTAGATGTAGACCACACTGCCTTTTGCCTTTCCTTGAAAAGCACAAGTATATACTCTTTTTTATCAATTTACTAATTAATTAAAACTCCATAGCTTATCTGTCCTTTCCTAATTCCTCATTTAAGTTGGACCTACAAGGGCTTAATTTACTCTGGCTGAAATGTCTCAAAGAGAGAGCTCACTCTTCTTTACAGATTTATGATGCCATAAAATAATGAAATTACTTTGAAAAAAGCATTTATTAACCACCTAATAAGTGCCCTAACATAGGAGGGAACCCATGCAGGGCATCCTGCCATATAGGGGCTCACAATTTAAATCCTCCTCCTTTCTCTTTTGCTTTTACTCTCCTTTCTCTCTCATTTATATCCTGTCCTAATTACTATCCCTTAACATAGAGACTTGAAAATTTCTCTCTCTACCCTTAAGCTCTTCTCTGCACTCCCTACCAACCTACATAGCTGCCAACTTTTTGTCTTTAAGGCAACTCAGATGTCCAAAGCAGAATCAAGGCCACCCCCTCACCAAACCTGCTCCTCTATGGTGTCTCCCCGAGTAAGGGAGAGCACCATCGCGTCTCCCTTCCCTTACTATCTGACCCACTGCTGAGGCCTCTCAATTCTTATACATCTGTTGAATCCACCCACTTGTCTCCACCTTCACTTTCTAACTGCAGCTCAAGCTCCCCTCATCTCTCACACAGCCTATTGCAAGAGCTTCCCAACTGGTCTCTGCACATTCTCTCTTCCTGCCTTCAGATAAAGAAGGTGAGGGGAGAGGGGTTATACAGAGTTGACAGATGCATAGGTTTGTATTTGCAAGATACCAAAGGCTGAGAGAAGACCGTGATGCCTTGCAAACTTCTTTGGGTTATAAAGCAAAACACAAGGACTGAGAAGCCAGGCAGGTAACACTTCTGCAGTTAACTCAGTGGAGATTAGCTGGAGAGTGAAGAATAAAGCACTGTGGGGAGGGGACAGAGGGAAATTGCTTGAGAAAGGGCACCAATGGGAAGGGAGGTGGAGTACAGAGAAGTAGGAAAGTGCACAGCCACGTCCCAGCCCTGGCTGGAGCCTACTGACAGTTGAGGAGTAGAGGCCCGCTCGCCCACCTACCTGGCCAGCGTACTCCACATAGTCTTGTTGTCCAGCCTGGGAGCTGATGCCGGAGCTGGCGGTGCCCTGCCTGGTGCGACACAGGACGATGGCGTACTGGTTTAGGTTCCCGGTCCTCTGCACCGTGACGCTGACAGACCCTGCCTTCTCACTGACATTGTAGCTAGAAGACACAAAAAGGCAGTCGCTGAAATTCTACCCCAGGACTTGTGACCAATCTGTTTGTTTAATCCCTGTCTCTCCTGGTTGATTACCGGTGTCAGGCAGTTCAGAGAAGAGGAAGTTTGGTTGGTGTAAGAAGCCAGTTGTGAACCGAGGGACTATGCTCAGCTGGGACAGTCACAGCACCTCCTGACAAGGAGGCTGTGGGGCCAGAATGGCACCTGCCCTGCTGCCAGAGAACGCTGACAGTCATTCAGAAGATGGGAAGCACATAGGAGCTGTGCACTTCATATTTCAGAACACAGAAAAGTGGTAAACAGTCTTTCCCTAGTGTAGTGGGGTACTTAGAATAGGAAGGTTTGGCTTTTAGGGAAGAAAGCGGCTTGGAAGGCAATTAATGACTTAGTTCAGGTGGGAACTGACTGGACCAGATCTCCAGAAAGTGTGTCGAGGAGCCAGGGCAGTGCCAGAGGTAAGAAAAGAAGAATTGGGCCTAGGTAACAAAGGCTTTGGACCAATCACTTTCTGACAACAGGGAGGGACAGGGTGCTACAGACTGAATGTGTCCCCTCCAAAATTTGTATGTTGAAATCCTAACCCCAATGTGATATTACAGGTGTGTGTAGTGGGGGGCACTTGGGGAGCTGATTAGCTCGTGAGGTGGAGCCCTCATGAATGGGATTAGTGCCCTTTTATAAAAGAGACCCCAGAGAGCTCCGTCTCCTTCTGCCATGTGAGGACACTGCGAGGAGACAGCCTTCTATAACCTGGGAAGTGAGTCCTCATCAGACACCAAATTTGCCAGCAGGACTCGGACTTGCAAGCCTCCAGAATGAGGAGGAATAAATTTCTGTTGTTTGTAAGTCCCCCAGTCTATGGTTTCTGTTACAGCAGCTTGAACAGACTAAGACAGGGTTAACTTAGCTTGCTGCCAGGAATTTGTATTGCTTTTGCAAAGTAGGATGCAAACTATCCAGGTGCTAATAATTCATAGTAAGTTCTAGGTTTAGAAAAGACACAGGTGAGTGGAGCCTGAGATGGGCTGTTTTTCATCACTGAGGATGGACATGGACTGGGGCTCATTTCTTGTTGTGAGGGTTGCGGGCCTAGTGCTTCTGAGAGGTTAGTCCCCATTGACAGCTTTGGGACCCTCTACTATTTAGGCCTTGAAACATTACAGGTTGTCCAGAAAATGTGATCAGCTTTATTCAATTTATTTTGAAGGAGACAGAAATAAGAGGTAAATAACAGCAAACATGACATACATAAGACTTGATTTTAATTTTGCATGATTTCTCCAAGCATGTGTGAAGGGGAGCATAGTAGCCTTTATCTGGGGCACATGAAATCAAGTTTGTACACTTTTATCCCCACTCCCCAAGTTCCAATGTTTATCTAAATTATCATAAAGTTGATTTCTTAGAGTAATGAGTCTCTGAAACGTAAATTTAAAGAATTATTTCCCCCACAAAAATTATAATCCTAGCTATAATCTGACCTATAAGGTCACACTGTGCTTGTCCACCTTTATCAACAGGGCCTTCTCCACTTGCCTCTTCCCCTCCCCAATAGCCTAAGGAGCATCTGAAAGAGCTGATTACATTAAGCTATGAATTTGTCTCTGGGGGTATATGATCCTATGAACACCAACAGAGCGAGGAGAGAATATAAGCTTGGGAACAGAGAGAATGTAGATGGAAGGGAAAGATGTGGCTATTGTGGCCCATTTTCAGAACTTGAATGTATATATTTTTTTTCTCTATCAGTTCTAGTTTTGAGGATAGAAGCAAAAATACTTGTGGGAGAGGCAGTAAAGTCCAGTGGTTTAGACCACTAGGTTTAAACCCTGGTTGAACTGCTTATTTGCTCTGTGCTTTGGGGCACGTTGCTTAACTTCTTTTTGTCCCTATTGCTCTATTGTATTGGGGACAATAATAGTACTCACCTCATAATTGCAAGTATTAAGATGACATATATCAAGTACCTAGTCAGTGTCTGGTGCATATAATACCCAAGGAATATTTGGTGTAGTTTATTCTTGTTATTGGTTCTACCACCACCATCTCCCTAGATGACTAGAGCTGCCCCCCAGGGTGCTTCTGCTGGTTTCCTCTGCTAGCCTGCTTTGCTTCTTGAGAACGCACACACAGTGACACCTGTACCTGGTATATTTGAAGCTGATGAGGGACCACTGAACATGGAAGACATTGTCGCCCACCACATTAGGCTTACTGTCTTTCACCAGAAACTGAAAACTATCCATCACCTCGTGGATCTTCTCCTCATGCAACACGTAATGGATCAACCCCAAGTTCACATCCTCTGTGAGAAAAAAAGACACTTAATTAACAGGGATATATGGCAGCCTCACAGATTCCACACCAACACACCCCGTTTATTCTTCTAATGGATGACAGACACAAGTTATTTTCCCAAGAACAAAAAGGAATAGCAGTCTTAAAAAAAATAAATGTTTCTTCCAGATTTAAAAATAAAACCCTATAGCTCTGTGTAACAAAAGACCTGAAGTGCCCTTATGCTGTTATAAAATGAGAATCCCAGAGTCTTGGCAAAAATGTACTTTAATAATACCTATGGAATGTTAAAGGCAAATATGAGAAAACATGACTCCATCCTCCATGTATATGTGCTCATCCCCTCCCTTATTTCCATCTAAATAAGAGTCCTTGGAAGGCATGTGCTGCCAAGGAAAACTGGGGTTGGATTTAAAAAGCACTTACACAAGGCACAGGTAAAATGGGGTCCAGAGAGACACAAGACTGAGGACAGGGAGACAGGAAATGTGGCGTGTGAATTGTAAGATGCAGGCAGCTTTGCAGTGACTGCCCTCTATCAGTCTATCCTTGGAAGGAGTCTGAACAAGCTTATGAGAAGCTAAAATACAAAAGGGTCTGCTTGATGTAATTCAAAATAGGAAAATATTTCTGTTGAGCAACCTACCCATGCTGATTTTGGTTTCTTTGCTGAAGACTTAAAAAACAATCTACAACCCTTAGAGACCAAAAATAAACCACACAGGATCACAGGCCTTTCATAAATCCTGGTGGTTGTTTTTAGTTTTTGTTTTTAAAGTAAACCAAGCAGTATCATTTCCAGAAAACCTGGCCAAAACCTAAAACAATTTGGGAGCTGAGGAAGTGTGGTAAAGATGAAATTTTTTCCCCATAATTCAGAGTAATAGGAAAAAAATCAGGAGAAGTAAAATTCTGAAGTTGGATGGTTAGACAGTAAAAGATCTGTATGTCTGCAGTTAGGTTACTTAGGGTAAGTAGCTGGAAGTGGCTGTGAGAAAAACCAGGGAGGCAGGGAGAGTGCATTAGCCCAGATTCCTCCCCTGTCTCAGTTCCCCAAGGCCCCACCCTGTGTGAAAGTAACAGCAGGCCGGCCAGGCTGCAGCTTCCTCTCCACGTAGCCATGCTTCGGGCCTTCTGTTATCTCATAGACGAGCTGCAGGTCTGCGGTGTCCGGGTCCGTGGTCAGCAGTTCCTTCTTGGTGATCAGGTTGGTTGCCTGGAATAGAAACCCATTAAATTTAATTCCTGACGTGGGAATAAAGCCAGAACAAGACCCTCTGCAGGCTTAATTTAGTCCAACAATGATTTACTGAGCTACATTTACTGCACAGAAAACTGTCAGGATGGAAGAGGCTATGAGGATAGAAAGTATCCCAGCCTCTGCACTTGAGGTGTTCACACAACTGGGAAAGAAAGGCTCGTGAGCAGGGTAATTGTGGCAAGAGCTAGAACGAGAGATACAAAAAGAGCACTGTATGCTTTCTGAGAATGAGAGAAATTAATTCCATCTGCCAATGGGGATGGAGGTACTTGAGGTGATGCAATATGAGTTTGGCCTTTAAAGAAAATTGGGATTTTGAAAGAATGCTATAATACAGAGAAGATAGCCACTTTATACCTTACAATGCTTGAAATTGAGCAAGACATATATATACCTGATACCCCAATACTGCCCAAATATGCTGGCAGCATTTTAATTCACTTACTTGTTCCTTCATTCAACAAATATTTAGTGAGAGCAAGGATTTGAGAGAGTAAATGGGTGGTCAACAGTATTAAACATAACTAGATCTGTAAAACAAGGGCATATAGGTGACCTCTGGATTTGGCAAATAGAGGTCATTGGTAACTTTAGTGAGAGTCACGGCAACAGGGCAGGAATGGGAATAGAAAGCTAATTGGAGAGTGGCAAGAAGAGAATGGAATGGTTCTGAATATGGAGAAAAAGACCAAATAGGGCCTGAGGGGAATTCATACTAATTTTGTTTCATACATTAAAAAAAAGTTCCAACCAGTTCAGTGGAAAGCTATGACACAACAACTACATATACAACCAACTAGTGAGCTCTGTGGAGATGCAAAAAATCCATATTCCAGTGGATACACCGCACACAAAAGCAGGACATTAGTTCCCAAGCTGAACTGAAGAAGTATGTGTGTTTGTGTAGGGATGAGCAGTTTCTGACATGTTACCAGGTGAGAATTGTGGCCTATCTTAAAATGATCAAACTGGGACTGAGGAAAAGGAAAAAGAAATTTTTCAAGTAGAATTCCTCTAAGAACACTCACCTACAAAAATACATCCTTCCCATATATGGCATATTCCAGATATTTCCCCAAATCCATCCTCTCATTCTTCTAGTTACCAAATTTTTAGCTGAGCACCTACCTGCCCAGCTACAGACAGTATTTCCCAGCCTCCCATGTTACTTGCCTAATGAGTATGAATGCAAGTGATGTGTTTAATTCCTGCATAACTTGCTGAGGATGAAGTTCCTGGCCCTCTACTGCTCTGTTTTCCTCTTCCCATGGGCTGGAATATGGAAAACGTTTGGCCATGCCATCAATAACAAAATCATTCAGTGATGGTAGAACAATAGGAGAGAGAAAATCTGCATTTCTGAATGGTCATGTGGAGCCTTTGACTACTGACTTCCACCCTATATGTGAGGGGAAAAAAAAAACTAAACTCCTATCTTGTTTGACATTTTGGAGGTCATTTTGTAAAAATACCTTAAATTACACACAGTCCTAATCAGAATCATGGAGCTCTCCAATCTCAGGGAAAAGTGGCTCACTTAGGGAAGGATAAACATGAGTTGGACTGAGGTTCTATTCCTATTCAAGAGTTATATGAATTAAAACATAGCCCAGGTTGGTCAGTGTGAATATGGCAGATGGAAAGGCCTCACCTTGCCATCCATATACTCCAGCCATTGAAGGCCCAGGTTAGTGACGACTCTAGGGCTGCCGTCGTCCACGGGGAGGATGGCTACTCGGAACTGCTGAGGTGCAGCCGTCATAACCTGTGGGGGAAAAACCAGAGAGGAAACTGTATCACTCAGACATGTGAAACATGTCAGGCCCAGGACCTACAAAACTGGAATCCCTGAAATGTGTTGACACTTCAGGTTGGGCAACTGAACCAGCTTCCATTATTTCCATTACTTCCATTACCTGACAGGAGGCTTAAGAGAGAATACAGATTGATAAAGTGGGGAAAACAGGAAAGGAAAGTAAGAAACAAGGGGATTCTCACTGGCATTTCAAGGGTTATGGAAGCTGACTTTCACATACCTATGCATTCTTCAGTTGAGTTCAGTATTGCCCTGAGGTGAAATAATAAACAAAACATTTCCCTTTCAATAAGTCTTGTTAAAATTTTCATGAGAGGTGGACAGAAATTATCATTAAAATGTTAATGTCAAAGTCTCCTGGTGGGATTTTGCCAGATGTAAAAAGAGACTTCATGGGAGGAGATTTTCCTTTTTTTGCTCCGAGAGAGTGTCTATATGGGGAAAGGAGGCAGAAGAAATCAAGAATAAAAGCGTTTGTGGGAATAGTGAGCAGAAATTTGGGTTTGTGATTTCATTCTCACACAGATACACATGCATTGACATGACATGTGCCTGGGGAGTCCGGACGTGCCCCTCACCATTTCTGCATCCTTCAGGCAGGTGCACAGGGCAGCAAGATGCTGGCTCTTCAATCTCCTATGATTCTCCTCCTAAATAATTTCCATTTTTAAAATAAAATAATGGTCCCTCTGGAGACCTACTGTGACCTTTCATGTCTATCAGAGAGGTATCCTTCTTGCTGATTCATCCTGAAATCATTTTTCTCTCCTGAAAGTCAAACTAATGAGATGCAGCTACAGTTTGGGAAAGAAAAAATAAAAGCAGTGACTTGCCAGGTGGTGATACAGTGCAGACACTGAAACAGCAGGATATCCCAGGAGCCATCCCACTGACACCTCGGCCACTTGAGAATGACCTTCACACAGGCTGTTTGTCTCTAAAGGAGACAGGAGAATCTTTCCTCCACAAAAAGAATCATTCCCATTCATTGTCCAAGTGTGAAAGGAACTCTGCAGGACTGAGAAGCTGACACTTTCGTTATTGTGGAAGTAGAGTCAGGTCACTAAAACTGCTGCTGCTGAGTCAGACACATATGTGTGAGATGCAGGAATGTCCAGAAGCCTACCTTTTACCAAAGATGCAATAATTCCCAGGGGAAGGTTCTGGTACTGTAAGAGACCTAGCTAAGGAATGAAGAAATGAGTGAAGATGATAGGGTGGGTAGTGGGGGGCTACCTTAGAGTTTCCCCTGGACACCTGGATATCAGAAGGGAGTAATTCTCTTAAGGCAGTAAAGCTTGACAACCACATGACCACAAGGAAAAAACATCTTCACCTGTTTCACAAGCTGCTCCTAAAATGGCGATAATGATGATGATTACAGATACAGTTCATTGGATATTTCCTGCATTAGGCACTGGGCTAAGTACTTTATGTATAATATGAGGGTAAATACGCCCCACTTTGAAGATAGGGAAACTGAGGCTCAGAAAGGTTAAATGACTAGCAAAGACATTTCAGCTAGTAAGTGACAGAGCTAGAATTTAAGTCAGCATCTTTGGATGCAAAAGCCATACTCTTAACCACAGGAATTCTTCATGATATTGAGAAACTCTGTCTGGCTGAGGGGACATATAAAAGAGAAAGGCAATCTAGAACCATATGATATTATTGAAAAACCAGATGAAAGAATAACTAAGGAGTAAATGGTGGGTGAAAAGGAAAGAAGAAATGACAGCAGTAATAATGACAGTAACTCTCACCTCCTACTGTTGAGTGCTCACTGTTTGCCAACAGTCCTAAGCACTTTATGTTGATTGCCTCCATTAAGCCTTAGATGAACTGAAGTTGCTGATTACTTTTGCATCCATTTTACAGACAAAAAGCTGAGGCTTCAAGAGGTTAATTAGTTTGCTCTGGCCAATTAGTAAGTGACAGAACAAGAATGCAAACAACGCCATCCTTAGTCAAAATGTCATGTTTTGCCTCTAATAAACTCTGGCATGCTTTGCATGCCTCCCTGTCCGTTATTTTAACCCCTTACCTCTTTTCCTCCTTATAGTTTGCTCTGGCCAATTAGTAAGTGACAGAACAAGAATGCAAACAACGCCATCCTTAGTCAAAATGTCATGTTTTGCCTCTAATAAACTCTGGCATGCTTTGCATGCCTCCCTGTCCGTTATTTTAACCCCTTACCTCTTTTCCTCCTTCCTCAATAATAAAGAAGGGATTCGTCCCATCAGAAACTATAAAGGTGAAGCGGTCTTTGAGGGAGTTGCTGCCATCATGGCTGTAGCTGACCCGGTTCTGGTAGATGTCTTCCATGGTGAAGGTGGAGGTGTGCTGAGAACGCTGCCCATTACTGGTTGTTCGCTCAATGGTGCCGTGGCGTGGGGGCTGCACAATGGTGAATGTGACAGACTTGGCCTATCGAGGAGGGAAAAAACAGGAGGAGAAGGGAAGTGCATAACAGAAACCAGGTAAGTGAGTGATGGCCAAGAGGCAGTCAAGGGTAGCCAAAACAAAAGACATTTATAAAATAAGGATTGCATTTCCTTTATAGTTAAGGAGAGAAATTATATTGGTTACAGCAACTGAACTTATTCTGGTGTCTTCAGTTGTAAGACTAAAACATTTAAATTTGTTATTTTAATTTGTTCATTTCTGATTCTGTTTACGTGTGTAGACTCTCTTTTTTTCTTGATAAATCTGGCCAGGGGCTTATCTATTTTGTTTATTTTCTCAAAGAACCAGCTCATGGTTTCCTTAGTTCTTTCTATTGTTTTAGTCTTCTCAATTTCATTTATTTCTTCTCTCCTAGTGACTTTGGGCCTCATTTGTTCTTCTTTTTCTAGTTTCATTAATTGTGAGTTTAGACTATTCATTTGAGACTGTTCTTTCTTGAGAGAGGCCTGTATTGTTATAAACTTTCCTCTTAGAACTGCCTTCACTGCCTCCCACAGAAGTTGGGGTGTTGAGCTGTTATTTTCATTTGTCTCCATATAGTGTCTGATCTCTGTTTTAATTTGGCCATTGATCTATTGATCATTAGGAGCATGTTGTTAAGCCTCCATGTGTTTGTGGGCATTTTTGTTTTCTTTGCACAATTTATTTCTAGTTTCATACCTTTGTAGTCTGCGAAGCTGGTTGGCACAATTTCAGTCTTTTTGAATTTACTGAGGCTCTTTTTGTGGCCTAGTATGTGATCTATTCTGGAAAACATTCCACATACACTTGGGAAGAATGTGTATCATGCTGCTTTTGAGTGGAGTGTTCTGTTGATGTCTATTAGGTCCATCTGTTCTAATGCATTATTCAGTGCCTCTGTCTCCTTACTTATTTTCTGTCTGATTAATCTGTCTTTTGATGTGAGTGGTGTGCTGAAGTTTCCTAAGATGAATGCATTGCATTCTATTTTCCCCTTTCATCATTTTTATTTGTTTCACATATGTGGGTGCTCCTGTGTTGGGTGCATAGATATTTGTAATGGTTATATCCTCTTGTTGGACTGACCCCTTTATCATTATGTAATGTCCTTCTTTGTTTCTTATTTTCTTTGTTCTGAAGTTGATTTTGTCTGATATAAGTACTGCTACTCCTGCATATTTCTCCCTATTGTTTGCATGAAATATCTTTTTCCATCCCTTCATCACTTTTAGTCTGTGTATGTCTTTGGGCTTGAAGTAAATCTCTTGTAGGCAGCATATAGATGGGTCTTGTTTTTTTACCCATTCTGCAACTCTATGGCTTTTGGTGCATCCAGTCAATTTACATTTAAGGTGATTATCAATAGATCTGTACTTATTTCCATTGTAGGCTTTAGATTTGTGGTTACCAAAGGTTCAAGAATAGCTTCCTTACTATCTATTTATCTTAAATTGTTTATTACTCTATTTCAAACATAATCTAAAGGTTCTTTCCCCTGCCCCCTTCTTCCTCCTCCTCCAGTCTTTATATATTAGGTGTCATATTCTGTACTCTTTGTGTATCCCTTGACTAACTTTGTGAGTAGCTGATTTATTTTGTATTGGCTTAGTAATTAATTGATCTGCTAACTTTACTGTGGGTTTATTTTCTCTGGTGACAGCTATTCAGCTCTAGGAGCATTTCCATCTATAACATATCTTGTAGAGATGGTTTGGTGGTGGTGAAATCCCTCAACTTTTGCTTATCTGGAAATTGTTTAATTCCTGCTACAAATTTAAATGATAATCTTGCCAGGTAGAGTATTCTTGGTTGGAGGCCCTTCTATTTCATTACATTAATTATATCATGCTACTCCCTTCTGGTTTATAAGGTTTCTGCTCAGAAGTTTGCTGACAGTCTGATGGGATTTTATTTATAAGTGATCTTTTTTCTCTCTCTGGCTGCTTTCAATACTCTTTCCTTGTCCTTGATCTTTTCCATTTTAATTATTAAATGTCTTGGTGTTGTCTTCCTAGAGTTCCTTATGTTGGGAGGTATCTGCACGTCCATGATGTGAGTGACTTTTTCCTTCCCCAGACTGGGGAAGTTTTCAACAATTATTTCCTCAAAAAGACTTTTTATCTCCTTTTCTCTCTTCTTCTGGTACCCCTATAATGCAAATATTGTTCTGTTTGGATTGGCCACATAGCTCTCTTACTATTCTTTCATTCCTAGAGATACTTTATTTCTTTCTATGCCTCAGCTTCTTTGTTTTCCTGTTCTCTATTTCATTTACCATGTCTTCTACCTCATCTAATCTACTTCTAAATCTCTCCATTGTATGTTTCATTTCAGACACTGTATTTTTCAAGGTTTCTATCTCTTTGTTGAAGTCCTCCCTGAGATCTTAAATATTTTTTCTGTAGCTCTGTGAGCATGCTTATGACTTCTATTTTGAAATCTTATCAAGAAGATTGGTGATTTGTTTCACTAATCCCTCTTTCTGGTGTTTTTTTCTTATAATTTTGTTTGGACCAAATTTCTTTGCCACTTCATATTTTTAGTGTTTCCTATGGAATAATAACATTATGTAGGCAGCACCCCCTATTGCCCAGAAGCTCTGCTCTGTGGAGCTGCTGTGCACCTGCAGCAATAGCAGGCGTTGCTGGTGAGCAGAACTGGTGCCTGTCAGGAGGAAAGAGCTCAGCTCAGAGGGTTTCCAGCCTTTCCAGCTATAGCACCTGCCTCCGCTGCCAGGTCCAGTGGGCCATGCATGCAGGAAGGAGCCTCTGTGCTATGTATGCCCCTGTAGCTGCTGTGATCAGAGCCACCCTCTGGTTGGCCTGGCATGATGTCAGGGATGGCAGGTGAGTGGAACTGGCACCTGCTGGGAGAAATGAGTGGCAGGCTGTGTACGACAGTGGTGGGCCTTGAGCCTGCATTGCCAGCCAGGGGGATGGAGTATCTGAAGCTCCTGAGAGTTCCCCACCTACTGGACTAAGTGTGCTGGGAAGGTTTTGTCCACCTCCCCTTTCTCCTGAGCAGCCAGCTCTGTGTAATCTTTGCACCTTTAACATCCCACTTGCTGCTGGGAAGTCCTTCAAACTGCCCTCCTTTCTTTTCTCCCAGGGGACCAGTTGTACATACCTGTTTTCCACAAGTGGCTAGAATCTCAGTCTCTGAGTATTCTGCCTGTATTTGCATTCCAAACCCACTGATCTCCAGTGCACTATACAATGTGGGTTCGTGCTTCTGGAAATCTCCAGGGCTGGGTGTACAGCAGTCATGGTCTTGTATTCCATCTCTGATCCATTTCTCTTCCTCCTGCCTGTGGGCTGGAATGGTAGGAGTGCTCGGGTCCTGTCAGATGGCAGCTTTGCTATTTTACCTTTTACTGTGAGGTCTTCTCTTTTGCCCCAGATGTAGGCAGTCTCTTCTGCAGTCTTCAGGTCACTCTTTCAGGATTAGTTTTATTTGCTGTATTTCCGTGTTTCATGTGATTTTGGGAGGAGGTTTCTGCCTCACTTCTCATGCTGCCATCTTTTACCCCAAGACTGACAGTCCTTACTTTATTTTTTTCCACAGCATTTATCACATCTGATAGATATTATGTGTTTCTTCTTGTCTGTCGACCTAATCAAAGTTTGAAAACCTCCTAAAGCTGGAATCTCTTTTGTTCACAACTCTGTCTTTAGAGCTTATAGCAAAGCCTGGCACTTGGTGGGTGATTACATATTTGATGAAAGAATAAATGAATGAATGAGTGCTGGCACAGGGAAGGATTTATACAGAGTAATTAATGAAAACTGATTTAACTCTTTTATAGGAGTTAGATCATGCCAAAATGTAAGACACTTTAATCTGAAAGCACCATGAGGATAAGAGTTTTGTTTCCACATGCCCATTTTACTATACAAAGCCTAGCTCTCCAAGGGTAGTCAAATTGCATCATGAGTTGCCCTCCAGAGAAGTCTGAGTGAAGGAGTAAAATGGTGGGGGGTGGTGGGCAGAAATAGTGCATCATGAATTGTGATAAAAAAATATGCATGTTAAAAGAATTTTAACATGTAATCAGGGGAGAGGGTGAATGTTTTTAGGGTTTCAGAAAGAGATTAAAAACCATTTGATCTCAAATGTGTTAGCTTCTCTTTTCCAGAAGACATGGTATCTCTGGTCTTTAAGCCTTCAAGGATGCATGTGCCAACCTTACCATCTACCCTACCCTCAGGATGCACAGGCACAAAGCAACCGATGCCCCCCGATCTGCCTCTCCTTTAGCCAGAGAACCTGGGGGAGCACTCTTACCTCTGTGTCTGCATCCACTGCCTTGAGCTCAAACTCTGTGATGGTCTTCCTCACACCCTCCTGGACCTGCATTCCTATGTTCTGTACAACTGGCAGTGAATCATCCACAGGGCGAAGAGTGATGTGGAAAGTCTGAGTCACCTACAATGGCAGAGAATGCAGGTGGGACACCTGTCCCTGGCACCCACCCAAGTGGAAGGGGGCTCTACTTTCCCTGTCACCATTCCTGGCATGACTGACTGACCAGAAACCCAAAAGGGAGCTCTCTTTGGCAAGTATCCCTGGGGCTGTCAGAAACTACCTCAATCCTTGTCTGAGAGCAGGTGAAAATGAAACTCGCATAACACTAGTCACTGTGCACACTCCATTCATGGAAGACTGTGCTGAGTCCACCCCCACTCAAGATGGGAATCAAGGTCCTCACCTACCTCATTGACTCCGTCTGACAGCGTAAAGCTGAAGGCATCTGAATGTCTCTCAGTCTCACTGGTGTGGATATACTGAATATTTCGTGAGGTCAGGTCAGCTTGAGTGAAGGAACTAATCTGGATACCTAGCAAAAGGGGAAGAGAGAACCAGGGACAGGATGTCAAAATCCTTCTAAGCTGTCCTTCTAAGGTTAGGGAAACACCATACTCTCATCAGACAGAGTCCTTTGTATTTTCTTAAAGCAACTACATGCTTCCCTCTAAGACCTTGTATTTTTATTTTTTTCTACAACAGCATATGTTCTGTGGGAGCACATGTTAACTTAATTATCCAGACTTCTACTGTGTGCCAAGCCAACAGCAGGTGCTCAATAATGTTACTCTCCTTTCTCTTGGGGCTTATGTATGCAGGTCAACTCTGTGAAAAGTAAGGCCATTCCTTATTCTCCAAACTCCTTTCTCCTAAGTTTTATATTCCCCTATAGCTTTCCAATCCTTTCTGAAAACCATCCCTAATTTAATACTGTGGATGGTTTAGTTTTTGAGCACTGAAGGTGTGTGGCTTACCTAAACATAGACTCTTCCTGTGACTGGTAAGCCATCTACGATCTCACTGCATATTCTTCAAGATCCCTCTCACCTCTCAGGTCTATGATTCTAGTTTCTCCTATACCACTTCAGCCAGGCTTACTATAGGACTTTGGGATTTGAGCAATCCTTCTATATGAAATCTAAAATGACCTAGGAAAACAGTATCCTTTATTACATATAGAGAGAATGTCTTAAGTGTTTTTTTAGAGTTGTTTTAAAAGTAAAAAAAATTTTTTAAGTGATTTAAAATAATGCCAAGGTATCCCACAAAAGAATAGTATCTCAGTGTTTTTAAATGTCCAACAACATTTAGCAAATCAGCCCAGACAAACTCTTTTGTCTACTCTGGGGCTTCTGGGGTTCTTACTCTGGTGCAAACCAAGACTCAAACAAATTATATCTTTTAGTCCCTTAGCACAAATTCCCTCTTTCTGATTCTGGGTATTGAGATATTAATCCACTTAATATGGTCCTTTGGTTTGGTCCTGAAATTCATTTGCTGCTTCCTGGGATTTATTTGTCATTGTTAATCTGGGCAAAAGCAGTTTGGCTTTTCTGTAAAAAAAAAAACAGAGCAATTCTCCTATGACCGTTTTACATTTAACTGTGATATCAGTATCACTGCTATACCTTAAAAAAGAAAACCAACCGGTATGGCTTACATTTGCATCTCTCTCTATCATCTGAAATTTGTCACTATGATATAACAGCCTCCTGAATATTGGGGCATTCATTTTTTTGATGAGCAATTTATATTTCTGTGCTTGCTACATCAGCTCTTGATAGGCCAAAAATGTAGCCTCCTGTCTTACTGATTTGTCTTGAGGCTCAGGACAGAAATCCATACCATTCTTTAAAAATTTAATGACTTCAGACTGACCACACTGAGAAATTTAAATCTCTTCCCTTGCTGTGAATCTATCCTCACAGCTCATGGGGAAAACTTGACTGGATTCTTACAGTCAAATGGTTACCTAGTTCACTGTTCCCTTTATGAGAGTCTAAGACTGATTAAGAAAGTTGGTAGATTTTTCCTACCTCTTGAGAATGAAGCTCTGGGATTGATCTTTTCTAAAACATTTTTTATTGAGAGGAAATTGACATATAACAAATTACATTTGAAGTGTACAGTTTATAGTTTTTGGCACATCCATGAAACCATCACCTCAATCCAAACAGTGAACATATCCATCACTCCAGAAATATCCAATTGGTGTTCTGTAATCCTTCCATCTGGACCTTTCCTGGCCTTTACCTAATTCCAAAGAAACAAATGAACTGTTTTCTGTCCCTATAGATTAGCTGATGCTTTCTCTATTTTTTAAATAAATAGAATCATACAGTATGTACTACTTCATACATGGTTTCTTTCACTTAGCATAACTATTTTGAGATTCACCCATATTAAAGGATGTATTAATAAATAGTTCATTTCTTTTTATTGCTGAGTAGTATTCCATTGCAGGGATATATCATGATTTGTCCATTCACCTGTTGATAGACATTGATTTCTAGTTTTGGGCTATTACAAATAAAGTTGCTATGATCATTTGTGCACAAGTCTTTGTATGGACATGTTTTCACTCTTCCTGGGAAAATCTCTAAGAGTGTAATGCATGGTTGGTGTACACTTAACTTTTTAGGAGACTGCCAAACTATTTTCCAAAGGGGTAGTACCATTTCACATTCCCACCATCAGTGCATGAGATCTCTGGTGTTTGCCTTAGTGGGACTTTCCTGGTCTGATCTAGTAATCATTGAACACCTATTATGTGCACTGTTTCAGGCTTGCTTATATATATATATATATATTGAGTTTTACCTTTTAACAACTCCTGAAAGCCAAGGTTGGAATATTACCACCATTTTTCTAGATTATGCCATGAAGAAAATTAGAAAAGCTATGTGACTTATCTGAGGTCACACAGCTAATAAGAGAGTAATGTTGGGACTGGAATTCATGGTTGTGTAACTCCAATGTTTATGCTTATTGGAGTACTTTTTGTACAACTCATCTAGCCTTTTCAGGCTAGGCAAGGAGCTTCTCGGATTTTAAATTTATCCATTAATTTTTTTCAATATAAAATAATATATGCCTATGAAAGAAAATGTGAAAAACATAGAAAAGTAGTGAAGAATAACAAAAGCCAGTCATAGATCTACCACTGAAATAGCACCATTAAAATATCTTTGAACTGGGAGGAGCCAAGATGGCGGTGTGAGTAGGACAGTGGGAATCTCCTCCCAAAAACATATATATTTTTGAAAATACAACAAATACAACTAATCCTAAAAGAGAGACCAGAAGACACAGGACAACAGCCAGACCACATCCACACCTGCGAGAACCCAGCACCTGGTGAAAGGGGTAAGATACAAGCCGCAGCCTGGTGGGACCTGAGGCCCCTCACCCCAGCTCCTGGCGGGAGGAGAGGAGTCGGAGCGGGTAGGGAGAGGGAGCCCAGGACTGCTAAACACCCAGTTCTAGCCATCCGCACCAGAGCGCACACACAGTGTATGCGTGGGGTCCTGGATACTAGGGAAACAGGACAGTAAGACCTGTGAGTGGGTCCTGAAGCCAGCGCCCCCGTGACAAAGAAATGCGAGTGCTTTTTGAAAGTCTTAAAGGGACAGGGACCCCAAAGCTGGATGGAAGCATCCCGGGACACAGTCCAGTAGCTGGAAATTCCAGGAAACTCTGGGCGCACTAACCCCCTGAGCAACAGCTCTGAGACCCCTCACGGAGGTAAACAGCCAAACAGCCCCCCGTCTATTACCCCTCCGAGGCCCTGCCATAGCAGAGCAGCTGCCTGAGGCAGGCCATGCCCACAGCAAGGGAGCTTCCTCCATACAGGTTGGGCAAGATACAGAGACCCAGTCTGCATGCAATTGCCCAACACAAGCCACTAGGGGTTGCAGTTGTCCCAGTAAAGAAAGGCCAGGAGCAAGTGGAAAGACTTGGTTCTCCCAGCTGACAGACGAGTCAATAGCTCACCATTGCAACTATCAACATAAAAAGGCAAAAAAATTTGATCCAGACAAGACTAACCCAGACAGCTTCGACATCTTCTACATCTTCCCCTGAGAAGGAACCTGGGGAGATAGATTTAACCAGTCTTCCTGAAAAAGAATTCAAAAGAAAAGTCATAACCATGCTGATGGAATTGCACAGAAATACGCAAGAACTAAGGAGGAAGAATACAGAAATAAAACAAACTCTGGAAGACTTCAAAACAGAATGGACAAGATGCAAGAGAGCATTAATGGACTAGAAAACAGAACAGGAATGCAGAGAAGCTGATACAGAGAGAGATAAAAGAATCTCCAGGAATGAAAGAATTTTAAGAGAACTGTGTGACCAATTGAAACGGAACAATATCCGCATTACAGGGGTACCAGAAGAAGAAGAGAGAGAAAAAGGGATAGAAAGTGTCTTTGAAGAAATAATTGCTGAAAACTTCCCCAAACTACGGGAGGAAATGGCCTCTCACACCAGAGAGGTACACAGAACTTCCATGACAAGGGATCCAAGGAGGGCAACACCAAGACACATAATAATTAAAATGGCAAAGATCAAAGATAAGGACAGAGTATTAAAGGCAGCTAGAGAGAAAAAAGAGGTCACCTACAAAGGAAAACCCATCAGACTATCATCAGACTTCTCAACAGAAACCCCTACAGGCCAGAAGAGAATGGCATGATATACTTAATGCAATGAAACAGAAGGGCCTCGAACCAAGATTACTGTATCCAGCATGATTATCATTTAAATATGAAGGAGGGATTAAACAATTCCCAGACAAGCAAAAGTTGAGGGAATTTGCCTCGCACAAACCACCTCTACAGGGCATCTTAAAGGGACTGCTCTAGATGGGAGCACTCCTAAAAAGAGCACAGAACAAAACACCCAACATATGAAGAAAGGAGGAGGAGGAATAAGAA